CGTTGCTTTTTTGCAACAACACAGAATTCCCAGTTCAAGAAGCTAATACACAAACAATGATACCGAGCGAATTTTCGGTTTAACGATCAAATGAATTTAATTTAAGAATAAATAATAGTAGTTGAACCAGTAATATGTAATTCCTAGTTTGCACTAAATAACTTGCACCTTGCTTGCACTGTCGACTGTCGTGTACTTGACTTTTAGAGATTATAAAGTTTTACTTCTTTTCCTCTCTGTCGCGTGTGTGGGTAGCCTACTAGGCCACACTAGGGTAGGTGTCTTGCACAATTTGTTTTTCAGGATTAATTTTGCCAACAGTGTCATTTAAAGGCTTCTGTTTGACTATAACGAAGGTTTAGTAATATTGAAAAATTATTTTGTTCATAGTTTATAAATAATATTATAAGTGCCTCATATTCAATTTTGTATTTTTTATTATGAAATTAAACCGTCATGACCTAACCAAACCAACCAAACGTGCTGGCAATGGAAAAATCTAATGAAGGTTTATTAATCGAAAAAATAGTTCTGTTCATAAAATGAAATTATAAATGCCTCAAATCCTATTTTATAATTTTTTTTATTATAAAATTAAACTATCATAACCTAACCAAACTAACCAGACTTGCTAATAATGAAAAATCAAATGAAGGTTTAACAGAAAATAATATTTCTGTTCATAAAATAAAACTATAAATGGATCAAATTCAATTTCATAATGTTTTAATTATAAAATTAAACCGTCATAACCTAACCAAACCAACCACAGCAGCGGAAAATTACGCAGCGTAAATCAGGAGGGGTGGTTCAACTGACTGCGGAAATAACGTTGCGGAAATTCATTTCTGCCCAAACTAGCGACGAGTATGGAACCCCAATATAATACCATAAAATAATACTAGGTAATATTCAGACGCAATTATTTTTAATTGTGGTTACTTTTATTGTAAACTGATGTTTGACCTAGTTCTTAAAAATCACCTTAATTGATTTTTTATGAGGATGGTGATAGTAAACATGAATAAAATACCCCCGCCGCAGCAAACCTGCAGACTATGCGAATTTCCATTTGCCTGATTGGATTTAGACTAAAATGTCTCCTTAAAAATATTACATTTATTCCCTATTTAAATAGAATCAGTTTAACACATACTTAGGTTTGCTGCAACAGGGTGGGTAAAAGTGTTTTTTTATGTAAAATGTTAATAGTTAGTAAGAAATAAAAACATTTTCCAAATTTGGGCAAAATATGTTAATAAACAAGCACACTACAACGGTTTACTTATTCTCCATAAGAATAACATGGGAATTTTAAATTCACAATTTTTTTGAATTTTCTCCGTAACCATTAGGCGCATTATAACGCTTCAATATACTAAATTATTTGTTTTTTTAAGCTCTACAAAATAGTTTGGAAAGAAATTTCAAAATTTTATGTTTTTTGGGTCAAAAATAGGAAAAACCCATTTTTACCCCATAAAAGCCCCCATAAACCCCTGTTCCCATGGTCCGATCATGCTGGTTCGCGAACTCGTTCGAATAAACGTAGGTTTACACGTTTGTACCAAATTTCATCAAAATCGGATCATTTTTGCTCGAGTTATCGCGCTAACGGACACATATATATATATAAATATATATATAAATATATATATATATATATGAATTTGAACGGATGGTGTTTTTAGCCTCTAGGGACCTCAAAACGAAAAAAAAAATCGGTCCCGGGCATGGCCCCCACAAGGGTGGGGCTGGTGCAACTCTGGTCACAGGGCCCGGGGCCTCAGAGGGCCCGGGCCTACCCATATTTTTTTATTTTTTTCCCCATTGAAGATCACTTTACAGCAGATCATAAATTGAAGATAAAAAATAATATATATATTTTACAAAAAACAAAGTTTAATAATTTAAAATGCATTAATTCTAGATTCTAAGGTAGTTTATATTTAAATACTATAGCTGCGTAGGAGCGTATGTTCTATACAACAGCAGAACAGCCAGCTCGGGCCCCAGTGGCCGGCTCCACAAACTCCCTCTACCCTTTCCTCCCGCCAGGCGCCTAGCCCCTCCTACCTCACTCTCCCCGTAATAAACAAAGTTTGGTTTTATAATTGAACTGATAGTTTCAAGAATGAATCCTTATAGTTATAAGTTAAAATAAAATTTGTAAAGCATTGAAAAATTGACATGTACTATGTACCATAGCTAAGGTGACCAGACGTCCCGTTTTAGGGGGACTGGTCCGTCCCGACAAATCCTCTCGGGACGCGTATTTGTCCCGTTTTATCAACATTTGGTCCCGGTTGCACTTTTATGTATGGTATTCCATTTTCCATTTTTCAATTAATGATTGCAATCTAGGTTATTTGACACAAACTTAAAAATTCTTTACTTTTGGAGTTTTAAAAATATGAAAGATTGTAATAATTTTTACCTAAGTTTTCTTACTAATTCGCTCGGTATAATACTGTACTAAAGCATGGATTGGATAGCATCGGCATCGACAGCATCGGTCATTCTCGGCGTTACTCGTGCACATTCGTTTTTCTCCGTGACTACTCGCGCAAGTTCGGCAGCTCAGGCATCCACTCCCAAAAAAATGTAGTATTGTTAAAATTCTTGATGAAAATTGTCACTGAATAAAATATGATTTCATTGGTGTAAGCTGTTAAACTCGATTTAGGTAAGTTTTTTCCTACTCCATATTACAAAGTACAATTATAGCAGTTAAGATAGCCAAACCCTTTTACAGGGAAATAAAAAAGACAAAATATTAATAGGCATGGAGCTTTTGTGTATTGATATAATAGTTTTAATTGCTGAATTCCTGTAATTTTAAGTCTTATAAAACTCATTGAAGAACTCTTTTCTTCCTTAAAAAAGGCTGCAAAAGTGCCATTTACCACTCACAAATTTAATACCTAGATTGCCTTAAAAACTCACTAAAATACATGACATTTTCAACATTTTCCCGGGGGAGAACCCCCGGACCCCCATCTAGGCTGGGGGGTATTCCATACCCCCCCGACCCCCCGGTTGGTAGGGGGGCCCGAGCCAGATCCTGGTAACAGGGCCCACAATTAAATGTGGGGGCCATGGTCCCGGGTCCAGGTCTTACCATGAGTACTACGGTAATAGCTTATTCCCTATATGGGAAATTCGCTAAAAGCAATTTGAACTTAAATTGCAGGGGTTTTCACGGGAAAACCACCAGTTTAGAACTCAAATTCAAACAGGTTTGAATTCAAAGTTTTTTGTATAGTTACTAAATCTACATCAAATACAATATAGATGTATAAAGAAATACAAAAGCCGCCGGTCACTGACACACCGGACAGTTCACGCCCCCGGCAGCTCCGAAGGCCGGTCGCTCATGCCCCCGGCAGCTCCGAAGGCCGGTCGCTCATGCCCCCGGCATCTCCGAAGGCCGGTCGCTCATGCCCCCGGCAGCTCCGAAGGCCGGTCGCTCATGCCCCCGGCATCTCCGAAGGCCGGTCGCTTACGCCCCCGGCAACTCCTAAGGCCGGTAAGGCCAGAAATCCATTGTTCTGTCGGGTGGCACTACTCGTTTCGAGCCCGAAATGACACTGGCAGGAAAAACGCATAAATACAGAGCTGCCTGCCAGTGTAGCATCAGTTCTCTCCGAACAGTCAACGAGGACACACCAGCTCCTCACTCCTGCCCTGCAGCCATAAGCAGTCAACGTTAAGTTAGTGAGAGAAATGTCTAAGGAGGGGTCGTTATTTAAAAATCCACTGAATGGCAAAGATGATAAAAAGGTAAGATTAACTTTTTTTAATCTGTGGAATGGGGGGGAATGTCCGGCGATATTTTTTAGCCTGTCTATTCACATCTGTTTCAATCGCAGATTACTCCTTTTCAATGCGCATGCGCAAACAAACTGTTCCATGTTCCATGGGAGCTGTGACAAGCGTTAGATGGATGGAACGGATACTTAACTTTCTAAGAGAAAGAGGACTGCAACCGGTTAACCTAACTTGGTTCTCCCAGTTAAAGCCAACTCGCCCACTAACCAATAGGGGGAAATAGGGGCCACCTTAGATCATATAAACTAGGATACCGTAATGTGGAATTTAAGGTATTTTTCCCCCTTAATTAATTCATTATTAATCCATTAAAATTCAAGTTTAATTTACAAATTAGGCGTAGCTTTCAAATATGTTACTGTCAAGTTTCTATTGAGACCTAGATCCATAATTTTTAATTGTGATATAGCTGACTCAGAACAACGTGGTGTGTGGTCTCAAATTCAGTAAGATTCTTTTAAACTAAAAGGCAACAATTTACTATAGTTACTAAGGCAATATAAAAATTACCGGTATTGAGATTTTAGAGGGAAGTCAAAAGGGTGCATAGATAAGACTAGGTGAAAATAAGCCAAACAAGTAATAATGCATTGGGCGACTCACCTACTTTTTCTGCCCAAGTAAGTGCAATAACAACTTATTATTGTTTTATGCATAATAACGACATAATAATGTGGTATTATATGTGTATCGTATACGGTATATTAACATAAACACCGTCTGTGTGGATCCCCAGTTGTAAACTTCAATGTACTTACAATTATTTTAAAAAAAACATGCTTAAATAAAACCACGTGAAAAAGATATTGGTTATAGCAGAGTCATACTTCTTTTCGTAAAATCATTAAAATTGTTTAACTATATATATGATTCAAAACAATTTTATAAATTGTTATTAGACGTTGAAAAACTAACATTTATAGAAAAATATTCAGGAAGCCTGAAGTGAACTGACGGTGTGTGCCTAACGCCGAAATGTGCTCACCGCAGTTTAAAATGTCTAGCTGAAAACCAGGGTGGTCCAACCTTAACTTTGACTTCACACCCAAAAATATGGTAAGGAAGAAATACATGGGTAGGATAGGGAATCACCATGATTTGAAGTAAGATCCCAAAGATATGGTGAGAAAACTAGCGAACCTATAAATACGAGGTCACACTGGAAAGAAATGTCAGTTTACTTCAAGCTTCTGAAGAGGAACAACCTCTCTAGCAACCGTACTCTACCTAGCACCATAGTGAAACACGCCTTTTTCGCTGATTCAACATTGAATAACATTGATGATTATAAGGTAAGTTTAAGAATTTAACTACGAACGTTTTTAAAGTGGCCATTTTAGTTCAATTCTTAAAATTGAAAAGTTTGAGATAAAAGCTTCGTTTACTCACATAACAGCATAGTTTTACTTCACAACAAGGATATTGACGGCGATTACAAACCAATTATATTCCTATATGTACCTAGAAGGTTTATTTATTTATATATTTGTGTATTTATTGTTATCTGTACATTTCGTATATTTTTACCGTGCTATGTTTTTGTAGTATAGAATAGCTCAAAATTGGTTTTACGTAATGTTCTTGTATTATGTGTAAATTAATCAAATATGGTTTGGATTTATTAAAAAAAAGAATTATCATTATTTTGTACGTCTTACCAATATACGCGCACGAAGTGGGATGTTATAATGTCTACTATTTATTATGTTCTGATGAATAACTGCAAGCTGAAACAATCACAGCTTAAACAGTACTATTAGGGCTAAGCAGTACACTCTCGCCGAGACGAGACGGAGCAGGCGAGGGCAAACTATTCGGAGGGAATTCCTTCCCCGCCCGCCGGGAGAAATATCGTACCTGCTCCAGGTAGAAAGTTGGTGAATTTGGACATTAGAAATGACCCCAAAAATGTTGGTGAATTTGGACGTAGCCCAATAATGTACTATCGGATTTAATACTTAATCGATTGAAATTCGTTTATACACATTTCAAAGTATATCCTAAAATTCAGTTTCGTAGTACGTGACCGTATGATTCAAAAACCTCTAGAATATATCGCAAAAGATTGACCAATCAGAGCGACCTGTTTTGAATTCTATTCTAAGCTAAGCTCTTATTCGTTTTCAGTTCCTAAAAAAATCTCCAATTCCAAGATTTAGCGGTCGTTTTGTATTTTTTGTTTATAGCCAAGCCAGGTTTGAAATGAAATGTAGGTTGGCGGAAAGGACAACAGGGGGAGTTGATTTGTTTAGATTTAGGGCTCAAAATGCCTCTTTTACCGGTTATAGTGTAGTTTTATGGTTTTCTATGATTAATCCGTAGATCTTGGCATTATTTAAAGTTTCATTATAGTTATTTATGTTGTGAATAGTTCTGTGAAAGATAAGTAGTAACCGAGTGATATTATTACCTGAAAGGTAAGTTGTCAAAAATGGCCGTTATTTAGTATTTGACCGTAGGCTATTCAAAAAATTGCCTATCCATATTTACCACATCAGGCCTAATGAAGTGCAATATTGGACCAAAAATAATAAATTCTTCGGTACACACCTGAGAATATTTGTTGTATTAGTTTCAGCATTTTAAAACTTAATGAGATCCGGTGATGTCTAAATTGTCAAATGTGATTAAACTTACCTACTTGCCTAGATAGGCATTTAAACAAGCATCAAATTATTAATATTATGCTAGTTGACTCTTGGGATAGGCACGGTTATAGAACGATATCCTATTTAACTCGAAATTGACCATCATCTACATGTTGGCTATTTTTATTTTAAGTTAATTGATTTATTAACTTAGACTCTAAGTTAATCAATCAATCAATCTTTATTTACACAAAACATTTACATGATAACACATTGTAACCTTAAATAGGTGCATCGTCAATACAATATATTCTAATTATTACATACGTTACTTTGGCAGAACTAGCCTATCTATGATATGACTCCCATTGGATAAATTAATAAAATAGGCTAAATTTTTCTGAACTTACTAGGCCTAGGCATAATTGATGTTTGCAATATTTACTAGGCCTAGTTACTTACTACCTTGGTAGAAAGTAGCCTAGGCCTAAGTTAAATTAATTTTTTACTCAGTATTAACTTAATTAGGCCTATAGGCCCAACTTTGTTAGATTCTACGCATGACAAATGATAACGGTAGGTTATTTTGTTAGCCTAATTGCATTGCACCTTTCAACTTGTTGTTCCTTTTTTTCCTTGGTTGTTGCTTTGTTCGGTTGTCTAAGTTAACTCATTGTAAAGTTAATTTTTGTTTTGTTTTTGCACTTCATATTTTACCTGTCGTTAATTACGCTATAAGTTACTAGGCCTATTTGCTAGTTAGGTCTATGTCTTTTGCATGTTATAAACTTATGCCTGCTTTTCATTTTCATTCTTATTTATTGCAGATATGTTAATATAGCCTACCTAAGTTAATTATGCGGCTGCACTTTACTTAACGTCCTACACTCATTCGAATGATAATATCGATCGATATATCGATTAATCGATTGCTTCATTCGATATATAGTTTGGTTAGTTAGGTAAGATTAACCTAACCTAACTAACCAAACGATATATCGAATAAAACAATCGAATGAAAATATCGAATCGAAAAAACAATCGAATGAGTGTAGGACGTCAAGTAAAGTGCAGCCAATTATGCTAACTTAAATGTTTATGCACGCGTGCTATATAACCTATTATTTAATGTATTTTTGATTTAATGCTGGTTACCGCATGTCTTTTGTATGTTATGCCTGCTTTTCATATTCGTTCTTATTAATTGCACATATTTTATTAGGGTACTAAGTTACCTAGACCTAAAAACAGCCCTAATGCTGGTAGGGGCCCAAATACTGGCAGCGGTGACTTCTACGTCATTTAACAATAGGCCTACTTTAAAATTTGAAAAAGGCCTAGCAGCTATCTTATTTGTTATTGGCTGAATGTAACATTACATCAACTATTTGTCTGTAAAAAAAAAAAAAAACAATTGTAATAAGTACCTGATTGGCCTATTTCACACATTTAGTGACAGTTATTTAGAATAAAAGTTACTGTAGTAGGTTAAGAATTTGTGCTGGCACCTAGTTTTCTTCTTGATTTCTCTAAGAATACAGGTGGTTGAAATAAGCAGACCGAATAAATAAGAAATAAGAATTTTTAATTGATCATAACCCCATATTTAACTAACCTAAATAACTAACAGTATTTCACCCTTGAAGTTTACAAAATAAATTTATAAAACGTCTGCCGGCGATGGGGAGGTCATAGATTGGAGTTGTCCTAACTTAATTCCGGCATGCCTGCCTGCCTGGTTATTGGAATCAGCGTTATTCATGTTGTTTTTGTTAACTTTTACTTGAAATAAGTTAATGACTAGGTATATACTATAAAAATGGTCTTCAAATACTTTTTGAGTACCGGTAGCCTAAGTTAGGCCTAGCTTATGTGATGCCGAAACTAAATGCAAACATTACAGGGACTAAACTTAGGACCAAGAATGTCAACACCAGCTCCTAACTAACTTAACTTATTATAAAAACTTAAGGCGAATAATACATATGGTAAAAACTAGGTTAATTTTCTGATCAATTTCAAATTGGATTACCCTTTTATAATAGAAACCTCCATATTTTATGATAGGAATGAAAGATAAAGCCAGGCTCTTAACACTTTGCACAGCCTTTAGAACATCCCCTAGGTGAGGTCATTGCACAATGCACACCACGCTGTTGGTGAGTTGCGGCCCAAATCTCATTTTGCGTATGATTTGTGGCCCAGACTGTAAAAGTTTTGTACTAGTTGCGACCCGACGTATAAACAAGTTAATTGCGGCCAAGGATATGGTTGGTTTTAAAATAATACATAAAATAATCATAGGGTGGAGTGGGGTAAGTGTGACAGCGGGGTAAGTGTGATAGCCGGCCATCTTGTTTTTGGGAATCGCTGAAAAAATTGGTTTTGTCATAGAAATAATGTTTGACATATAAGGTAGGCCTATCTAGTTACATAGTTTTTTTATCAATTTAGTAACTACTGTACGGTATGTTGATTTTATTGGTTTTTATAAGTCCGACATTTTAGGTCAAAATCAAAGTTTGTTCAAAAATGTTGTTTAATTTGTAGCCTAGTTATTTTAAATTTTGACCAATATCAAACTCAGATTTTTAAAGAGCCTAAAAGCTAAACTTTTAGAAAAAAAAATATTTAAAACGTGTACAAATTTATCATTAAATTTAAAACCACATGTCACACTTACCCTGGAAATTTTCAATGGCTGGGGCAAGTGTGACACCGACACCCGGGGCAAGTGTGATCTGATGCAAGTTTTTACAAATTTCCACAGATTTGTACGTCTTTATTTCATTTGTAAATATCTCAAAAAGTAAGAATGATACCGGTAGGGACTTAAATCAAAATGTTCCTGAAAGAGCACTAACTGGGTATTTATTACAATTGCCCAATAACTTATTGCTATTTTTTTCAGATGGAAGGTGAAAACAGCATGGAAACTCCCGGCTCGGTTAAAAGTATTTGGAGTCCTGATGTATTGCAGAGGAATCAACCTCATAGCAGCACTCCTTATTGGCCTCCAACATCCAAAGAACTGGATGACAGTGCAGGGTCGTTAAAACAAGATAGCGGTTATTGCTCAGCTACACCTAGATCTGCCGACTCGGGAGGTTTTATAATGTTTGATAAATGCCGTCTTTGCAACAAATCCTTACACCATAGCTGTGCTCTGAGCACCCCAGAATACAAATGTAGTTGCAAAAGGCCATTCATGAGCGGTAGCTCTCCTTACGTAGAATGTATGGAAGCAATTAAAGAAGTGAAAATGTCTCCTACACCAAAACTATCTTCTCAGGTCAGAATGAGCAGACCTCTTGAATTAGGATTCGAAGACGCTATGGATACCTCGCTTTATCAAGAAGAAATGGAAGTGGATAGTTTTTCGTCGCGAGACAACCATCAGTGTTCTTTAGACTTACTGGAGTTGGGGGAAGAAAAATCAATTGATTTTATGGAGCCTCATGTATTATCTGCCTCGCAAAGTTTAGGGAAGGAAATACCGCCATCATTCTTGCCGTTAATATCATCTTCAGATCAAGTTAGTGTTGATCCCGCTACTTTACAAAATCAAGAAAAACAAAACTTATGTCTAGAAGATAAATCCGCGCAATTCTTTAGCACGAATTGGTTAAGCTCTAATCCAAGTCCTAAATTAGAAAATGAAGTAACTCCAACAAAATCAAAAGATATAACAACATTCAAAAAGCAGACAAAAGCTAGTTCCTTCCAATACTCTGTTAAAAAGATTGCCACAATGAGTAGAGTTGTTAGGTCATTTTATCCAATAAACGGTATTGAGAGTGTAGATTTCCTATATCAACTTGGCGTGAAGAAAAGTTTTCCCAAAATTGTTAGTCAAATATTTGAATACTTATCAGAAAAGGATTTAGATGCTGTCAGAGTAGTTTCGAAGGCTTGGAACAAGGTGTTGAACAATGATAGTGCTGCCTGGAAGCGCTGGAGAGAATATTCCGATACCTTGCGACTGATGAAGGAGAACCTGTCATCCCCGGTAAGAACCTTTTTACTTCTTCATAGACCACTAAGGTTATTACACCAGTTTAAACAAATTTTGTGTAGGCCTAAGGAAGAAAATGGCTGCAGGCCATTTAATCTTTAAACAACGCTTTTTCCTACAGTTTTTGAAAGTACTCTTTAGCCACTTGAAGGCCCTAAAGCTGGTTTAAATCCAATTCGTCCAAACTCAAGACTAAATAAGCCTTCAGTGTTATGAGCCTACCCTTACATTTTGTACGTATTTTTGTTTATATTGGAGGAGAATTTAACTCATTATTAGGCTATTTCATGAATGTAAATTTCAAAGATTTAAATAGAATTTTATGTTAAATTATGTATAAAATTTTTTATTTATAGACTAGGAACAACAATTAAGTTAAAATTAGTTATAGCCTATTTATATTCTTATGTTTTGATATTGTGCTCAGGTGAAACAGGGAGGTTCAGGAGGCAGAAACAGACCTGCTTTAACTCGACTACAGAACGTCGGTAACCAGTCTAGTCCTCCTCGACAACCCTACAGTCCTCGCCAGGTGCCTTTCAGTCCTCCAGTCAGCCCTAACAGCAACCGATTCCAGTCTTATCGAAAGGTGGATATCTTGATCAGTACAGATTCTAATAATGTGAAATTAACACGCATGTTCATAAAAACATTACCATAAGTTTTAACCCATTGGGGAAGGAATTAATGTGTTGTCTGCAGTGCCCTCTCTCGGCATTTAATTTTACCGAATTTGTAGACTTTACACAAATTGTTATAGGAAGAACACCTTAGGTAATAAATTGATAATTCTTTTGTCATTTTATTCAAAGTAAAATTTTCTACAAAAACAGTGGTAATTGTTGTTGTACAGTAGATACTGGTAGTCAAAGTGTAAAAAAAAATTATAAAGATTATAAAACCAACAATTTTAAAAACATAAAAAAATAAACTTGATTTACAAATTCCAAGAGACACCAAATGACACTACTGTTATAAAGTTCAATTGATTCCCTAGGTAGAAAAATCATAAGTTGTTTACTTTTAAAAGTTATTGCATAGAAAAAAATGTTGGTTTTAGCTAACACGCAGCTGATTTTGGGTGATATCTGGTTTCCATGGCAACACAACCATGTTTGTTATTCGCATTAATAAATGATTAAATATGCAAAAGAAGAAGCAAGATATTTATAAACATCATAAAAAAAAGAAGAAACAATAAGGGGGGGTGGGAAATAATAATAATAAAATAGCGGCGACACGAGCGCCACTCGTAAGTCAGCGCCAATGGGTTAACATCAGACATACAAGATTTGTTTTAGCCTATAGAAGATATAGCTTTTAAAATTCAGTAGGTACAATCATAGACAAAAAGAATTAAATTAGACCGTGTAGTTACGTTAGTTGGGAGCGCCGTGTAGTTACGTAGCACGTAAGCCGTAACTACATTTCGCTCCCAGCGGTGTGCACCAAGACCTATGGTAACCATGACAACCGCAGCACGGCTGACAGTCTATTTAATTCTTATGGTACAACTAAAGCTGGGTTTTCCTAGGCGCGGAGTCGGCGAGCGGAGAGAGGAACGCGGAGAGCGGAATTGAAATTAACATGGCATTCTGCTCCGCTTCTAGGAAAACAGTAACATTAAATTGCCTAAGACAAGCCGAGTCCGCTCTCCGCGTTCCTCTCTCCGCTAGCCGATTCCGCGCCTAGGAAAACCCAGCTAAAGGTGGAAGGCCTATCCGTTGACTTGATTGCAGGCTAAGTGCATTAAACACTGACCTGATGCCTTTTATTCATTCCATTAGGAGCTTCCAACAGATTGTGCTGGTGTAAATTACTGATTTTTGTTTAACAATCTTGATATTTAATCAAACCTAAGTGAAAGGACAATTTAATATTGTTAACTATACGGATCTTTTATGTCACAGTAACATAAACAAAGGGAGAATTTCAGACTGTAGCCCTGTCTGTAAGTGGGTTGTTCAACTCTTCTTGGCAGGAGCTGGTGTTTACATGGTGTTGAAAAAAACCTTCAGGACTTGGGGATATGATTGCAAATGAGAACGAATGGTGTATACAAGGCTTTGAAAAAAATCTCTTCAGGACTTGGGGATATGATTAAAAAAATAAAAACAAATGTCCTAAAATGCTTGGTTTTCCGTATATCCGTTTTTTACACCGTATGTGTTTTTTACATTACCATTATCTCTGATTATATCTCCTGAACCACTAAATGTACCAACTTCAAACTTAAGACCATGTCACACCGATATCCGCCGCGGGAGTTCCGCATGCGGATATTTCTCCACATCTACATACTTCCTTTTCCACCAGGTGAAATCTCCACAAATTAGCCTTGAAATTTTCCATGTCCTGTGACAAACTGCGTTTCATAATGGCCCATCTCCCAATCTTGTTCCAGTCTCTTTCTGATGTTAGGTATACATCCGAACGTTTACCTTCAAAACGTTAACATAAAACATTCTGCTCCCAACACATTTGCCACTTATCTAATATCTCCTCTTTTCTGTTTCCGATGTAGTCCTACCCGCCTCCTTATCCTCCAAAATCCACAGCTTATGCAGTGATTATCCAACAGTCCTAAATTGTATGTGAACTCTTCAGGCGGCTGTGCGAGAGCACACTTAAATCCAACGCGGAAGGGTGCTTGCTGTATTCAGCTATCAACCACAATAGTATTATTTGTATTTTGTTCGCGTTTACCAGAACTCTTTGCTGCACGGAACCATCCCTAGTTCTGTGGCCCTATGTTGCACGGAACTATGACAAATGCAAAAATGCTTATTTTTAATTGTTTTGACCTATCACTTAGCAACGTAAAACTTAAATAAATTATGGGAAAACAACTTTATATTGTATAACAAAACCATACGTTCATTTTCCATTTAGAATAAGTATAATCAGTAATAAACTTACCTCAATAATCATGACAGTATTAATGATAACAGTAAACACCAACACGATCACATGTGAACGTCTCTGAACACAATAAATAAATAGGTTTCCCTCAAATACCCACATACCCTATCTAGTGGTGATGTGTTGAACTACAGGGGAACAGTTCCAAAATAATAGCGCTGTGTGTCTGGTTGGAAAAAAATAAAACATGTGGTGTTACACAAAGTGTAACACTGTGAAACAATGGACAAACATTTGGTGTTACATTTACTGTAACACTGTGCTGCAATGAGTTAAAGTTCGTCAGCCTCCTCCTATTGGCCGTCCTGGTCGACGCGTTATCGAACCTCCATTATGTCTCCATCATTATGAATGTGCTGGTTTCCATTATGTCAAACGTTTTTTGGTTATGCTTTGATTATGTGCAGATAAAATCTGGTTTAAAACAGTGAAACATCAATCTTTTCAACTAATCTAATAAATCCTTAAAGCACATGTCTCCAATTTTAGTATAACCAGCTGTTTCAAATATTAGTGTCAATTTCAATGTATTCATCTGTTCAAATGTAAACAAACATTTTCTCCATAAGAATAACATGGGAACTTTGAAGGCTACTGGGGCAGAGTTCTGATGGAATTTCAAAGTTTTTTTGTTTGATTGCAAAACTGCATGCTAAGACCTTTCTAATGACACCTTGGACATGGTGATTGGTAGCACCACCACTCCAAAACAATAATGACAAAAATATGCCTAGCGTATTAAATATATAGGTATATGAATTTGAACGGATGGTGTTTTTGGCCTCTGGGGACCTCAAAACGAAAAAGTAAATCGGTCCCGGGTCCAGGTCTTGCCATGAGACCTACGGTAAGTTTATGCCCTATAGGCTATGGGAAATTCGCTAAAATTTGATGGGAAACATAAAATTTTTACCATAAACATTATTTTTGCATGGTAAACAAATATTATTTTTCTCTGGTGATAAACATATTGCGAAGATAAAACAAAACAATATACATAATCAAACAAAAGAAACATGTTAGATTTAATTTCAAACTGTAATACTTTAAAGCTTTAAATAGCTTAGCCGCCATTCAAGATGCACCTTTGCGCATGCGCCAGACAAAACTCCCGCCGCAGTAGTCTCAAAAAATCACTCAGCAAGCGGGTGTGACGGACACACGCGCGGTAGTGTAGTGTGATTTGGCACATTTGATAACATGGTGAGCGATTTTTCTTAATTCGCTCCCACCGCGGTAGCGAGCTCAGTGTGACTTGGCCTTTAGTACGTGGACGACTATTAACAAGACCTATTTTAGGTATGTACCGTAGTATGGATTTTCTACTTTGTACTATTTAAAAATGGCGCCCATTTTGAAATTTAAATTGCTAAAAAAAATGGCTGATTTTATGAAAGTTGTCAAGAACGCTCTTTTTTAGTGTTTAAAGTGCCCTATCCAACGACATCATTAAAAAAGATTGAGTAAAAAATAACTAAAATATCACAATTTTTGTCGTAAATGAGGTTGAATGGGGTTAAGCTAGTCAGGTTTGCATTGTTTTACAACTAAAACTTGTGATATTTCAGTAAAGTTTTTTTATCTTTTGGTGTAGTTGGATAGGGCACTTTAAATACTAAATAAAAGTGTTTCTTGAAAATTTTTCATAAAATCAGCCATTTTTTTTGTAACGATAATTTAAAATTAAACTGCCGCCATTTTAAAATAGTACAAAGTAGAAAATTCATACTAGGCCTACATACTTATTAGGTCTTGTTAATAGTCCACCTAACAAGTTTGAAGTATACGTTTAGTGGTTTCTGAGATATAATTGGGCATGTTAAAAAAACACATACAGACAAATATATGGAAAACCGAGAATTTTAGAACATGTGTTAACAGGAACTTTTTTCTTATTTTTGATGTAAGTAATCATATTCCCAAGTCTTGAAGGTTTTTTTTAACACCCTGTGGAATGGAATGTCAACTTCAGTGTCCAAAAGTTAATGCATATTCTAAGTAGGATCATGTGCTCAATTAGTCGATTACGTAACCATATTGTACTTCTATGAAATAAATGTTACACAAATTTCAGGCGGCCAAATCGTTGAAGAAGAATGAACGGTTGCTACCTTGTCCCAAGTGTCGATTTGCCTCGACAGATCGCGGCAGTCCCGTGGCTCAGTGTCCTCGGTCCGGCTGTCGTCATCGATTCTGCGTCTGGTGCAACATCGAGGTGGTGCCAGACCTGGAGCATCACTGTCCCCCTCTCTACACTCCTCGCAGCCTCACACGAAGAAACACCATCCACTCCGTTGGTAGCAAGAGTTCCAAGCGCAACTTGCGCCGCTTATAGTATAATGCCGAAAACATCACCGTCAGCTGTGTTCAGTAACGCCTGTTCCTTGTTTTTATATTTGAGATGTTCAAGCAGTTCAGTTAAGCTCTCTTCTACTGCTTTTTGCAGTCTCTGTTAAGTTCCTACGATGTTTTTGTATGTTTTATTTAATTGTTTCAGTAGGGTTTTAGCTTTTCATGTGTAGTAAAATGTTCACAAGTATGCTCAATTTACAAACGGATTTTGCTCCATTAGTATGACGTGTAAATTCTGTAACGTTATGTAAGCTATGTAAATACATTTTTGAACAAACTTTTTTGTAATTTATGTTATCTGTGATGTAATTAAGATCTAGAATAACGTGGTCTGGAAGAATGCGTTTCAAGCTAGTTTTTACATTAGGTAAGTTAAGCAGTTTTGAAATGCCAAGTAATTAACATCTAGAATAACATGGCATAATAGCAATTTTTTCACTAAGCAGTTTTTGAAATGCTGGTAGAGTGATCTTTTTTTTGAATTGTTTACAGTCTTGCCTTAGTTTTTTTACTTGCAAACACAATCGTATTAAGCGTTAAAAAAATACTGTAACTTATGCAATTTCTTATTTTTTATTTTACTTTCAAACACAAAAATCGTATTAACTGATTATAAAAAAAAAAAAACTGTAACTTTGACAATTTCTAATTATTTTTACTTAAACTAAAATATTAGGTACGGTACGGAATTATATTGATTTTTTTTTTATACAAAATTAAAGTACCAGTAGTCTAGTTAAGTTTTAACCTGTTTAACACGAATGCTTAGAAGAAAGACATATTACGTTTTGTTAGAGGTTTCATATTCCTGGACACATTATGCAGAATTACGTTTATAATTAATTCTTAGTTACTTGATAGATATTGCATATTATTACATGTACCGTAATTCATAGTACAATAAATAGTGCATAGTACATAATATAGTCTATAAAAAATACATGACATATTATATTGCACAAAACTCTACATAACTCAAGTGTAAAATTAATCTAATGTTGTTGTTACCTATTTAAGCAAATGTAAATCATATTTTTTTAGAATAAGAAAGTTATGTGTTTGAGTTAAGCCTTTTGTACAAAATATTTTCTTGAACTCAAGAGAGAACTAAAAATTTCCTGCGTAAGCCTAAGAGGCACTTGTAAAAATTTACGTGGAATTCATTAGAACTTGTTTTAAAACTCAATATTTATTAAAATGTTTTATATAATTTATGTCCACTCATTCTTTTCTCCTTCTCTCCAAAGTTCATTTCTGATATTAGGAAATTGACAGGAAGCGGGCTTACATAATAACACACAAAAGTAAACATTTTCGTGGTCACTGACCACTTTTTACAAAGATATAATAATTTTAATAACATTAGAACCCCGACGCAAATATGCGTCGGCAGTCTATGAGTAGAAACCGGCCGTCGCATATGTGCGTCGCTGGTCCATGTGAATGAAAAATTTCGTACTATTGCAGTAGCGAACGTGTTAAAAGTTTCAAAAAGATTTAAAAGAACACCTGGGGATACTAGAGATTAGTTGTTGGTACATACACAAAATTTTAACAAGTTTTGTCAACATTGGCCAAAGGTGTAGTCTGTAACTCTGCACACATTCACACACAGAGATCACTTCAAAAACCTCTTTTTAGTTTCAGGGTGACCCGAAACGGATTTTTACCCAAAACTCAAACATTATTACGAACAATACATTATCCATATAACTATGTACAGGGAGGGGAGAGAAAGTTAAAACAGACGAGTTTACATGTAGGATGTAGGTCTAATAAAGTTAAACTGACAGTGAAGCAAAGTAGCTACAGTGCTAACCTCTCTAACAGTCTGATTCTGGGAAAAATAGATTTTCGGTTGATATTGTTATTTGGGAATAAGTTGATACTTTTTGACAACACATTGAATCACTAACCCATTGGGGGAGGAATTAATGTGCTACCTGCAGTGCCCTCGGTCATCAATTAATTTTACCAAATTTATAGACTTTCACTCTAATTGTTATAGAAAGAAAAAGTTTGGTATTAATTAAATAATTCTTTTGCCATTTTGTTCAGAATAACATTGTCTACAAAAAAATGTAATTAGATAATGAAAGTGTAAAATTTAAAAAAATAATTCCTCCGCCGCAGCAAACCTGCCAACTAAGCCAATTTCAAATTGTCTGAATTGATTTTCAATCTAATGTATTTAAATATCATTAGGTTTAACGAGTACCTAGGTTTGCTGCTACAAGGAAACTAATACAGTGTGTCTTTTAGTAAAGTGTTAATAACTTAGAATAAAATAAATAAATTAGCCAAGTTTTATCAAAATATATCCACAAACAAGCAAACTACAACATTTTACAATATTCTCCATAAGAATAACATGGGAATAAAAAAAACAATTTTTCGAATTTTCTCCGTTACCAATAACCGTACAAAAACACTTTAATATACTAGATCATTTGTTTTTTTAAGCTCTTTAAAAAGGTCTAGAGAGAAATTGGGAAATTTTATGTTTTGAGGGTCAAAAATTAGAAAAACCATTTTTATCCCATAAAACCCCGTTACCATCGCCCGATCATGCTGGTTCGCAAACTCATCCAAGTTTATCCTGCTTTACACCCTTCAACTAAATTTAATCAAAATCAGACAAAAATTACTCAAGTTATCACGTTTACGGAAGAATATTTAAAAATTTGAACGAATGGTGTTTTTGGACACTGGGGAATTCAAAATGAAAAAGTAAATTGGTCCCGGGCCTAGGTCTTACCATGTCACCTACGGTAATAGCTACTTCCCTATACGGAAATTCGCCAAAAACAAAAAAAAATATGAAAAAAAACTTAATTTACAAATTCCAAGATTAATCTAGACACCAAATGACACTTTTATCATAAAGTTAAATTGATTACCTACGTAGGAAAATCAACAGTTGTTTACATTTATAGGTAATAACCACAAATAGTAGAAACGTCACCACGATAGAAACGTGAACGTAATTTGTTTATGTTTATGATCCATACCGGTATTTTTCTAGCATTCGTGGTAATATCATAGAAAAAATATGTTTGTTTTACCTTACCACAGCTGATTTTTAGTGATATCTGGTTTCCATGGAAACACAACCTTTGTTATTCCCAAAAATAAGTTATTAAAAATATACAAAACAAGATATTTATAAACATTATAAAAGTAAACAATTAAAACAAAAATTTAAAAAATAAACCAACCTGGGCTTGTAAGTCGGATTTTGGGCCTCCGGCGGCCAGACGAGTAACGCTCGTAAGTCGGCACCAATGGGTTAAATTGAAATAAATCTTTGATTTAGACTTTTATTTTAGTCCCTTCCAAGAACTTAGCCCTCCGAGTGTCATGCGTCGCTGCAGCGACGCGTAACGCACTTTGTATAGTGTCGTGCGTCGCTACAGCGACTCGCGAACACTGTTTACGGCGAAGGCTCTATGACTAACTGAATCGGACTGTACTGGATTGAGTTAGGTATCGTTCTTTCCGTAATATTCTAAGCTTTCTCCAGAGGTCTGTCTCTAAGCACTATTCATTTTAGTTCCGAAAATATTGTAGCAGACAGCTGACTGAGCTGACGTGCGTGTATTTGTAAACAGCTAGGTTACCCTCGGACCGATGACTGATGTGTTTTTATTACATTTATCATTGTTTTAGTGTTAAAAATCAAAAGTAGTGATAAACGTGGTGCATTATAAGAAGATTTAAGTGGTTTTGAAGTGCTGGTTGATGATCCTGAAGAAGTAGGTAGTGATATTGATGTAAATTATCAGCCAGATTCCTAGCTATGGTTGGGCTATGCATTCTTAGCTAAACGCTATGTACTGAAATCTGTTTTTTGCCCATAACTTATTTATTTGCAAATCTACTTCCTTATATTATTATATATTTGTAATCCTCATAAAATTTAGAACAAAGTGGCTATTTTCAAATATTTATAGGCCTATAATTTATACAATTTCATTGAGCGCAAACTTATTTTTTTTTTTAATTTTCGAAATTATAAATTTTTTTTACCTAAAAAAAATTTTTTTAAAAAATCTTCCTTATGTTTTATATATAATATTGAAGCCCAAGATTTTCCAAACAAAATGGTATATAGAACAGTATAATTAACATTGTTTTTAAGCTTCTCAGATCAGTTTTAATAAAACCTTGCAAATGAGCAAAAAATAGGCTGACATTAAGGCCAAAACACGTGACACTCGGAGGGTTAACAATGGACCTTTGGCAATAAACCAACGAAATAATAAAATACTCTAACAATCACAATGCCTGGTTGAAATACAAAAGCGAGATAGATTCTGGAACTTGATGCAATTTGCCATTGGGCTATCAATTAATCACGCTATCCAACAAAAGAAGCATTAGGTAGTATAACAAAATCAGGGTTTGTACATATAAAAAATGTAAACAATACTAATGGAGTACATAATAAGAAAATTAAAATTACTAATGACCAGAAGTGTAATTTGGGTATCAATTTATAACATGAATGAAAATAACAAAGATATCGAATAAATAAATAAATATTTATTAAAAATATAACTACATTTATACAAATTTATACAGGTTTCAGATTTTAATCCAAATAAACAACAGAGTTAAGTCTATCAGCAATACTAATTAAATATAGTTAAATTATTTTTATACACAAAAGAAATGCTAAGCCTTGTCATGAAGTCAATTAATTTTAGAATTTTTTACCCTAAAATGATAACGTCAACTGTCTAGAGGTCATTAACAAGCAAGTCTAAGTCTCCTTTGATAACATAACAATAAACTTCCTCTTTCCGTTAACTTTATCATTTGATAACAAGATTTAAATTTCAAAGGCTAGGAAAGTTGTTGTGTCAAAATCTTTGGTCCACAATAAATAAATTTGATAAACAAATCAGTTTAAAACTATATTAGCCTAAGTTTAATTGTACTAACCTTTAAACGAGTAGGCAATTTACTAAACTTAATTATTGCAGAACATGCCAGAAAAAGCTTTCTAATACATAATCTTTACTTTGAAAAAATAAATAACTTCTTGATCAGCATTATACATGTTTTTAAATTTAGTTTTTGAAAAAAACCCAATGTAGTTGATTACATATATGGACATAATAAAAAATAAATTTTTACACCGGTGGAATGAAAATGCATGTTTGTTTTAAAAACAATAATAACAGGTAAAACAATGAAAGCTGCAAAATATAAAAATAACAGTAAGGCCTATTAAAAAAGGGTTCACATTTTGTGTAGTTCCCCTTGAACATAATAAAGATATTTAATAAATAATACCCCAAAACAGTATGTAAAGTAAAGCAGTATCTGAGATACTAAATAAATATAAGAGAAAAATATTAAACAATCAAATTAAAAAAAACTTGTAAAAGTGATTTTACACAAAATGGCTGGTTTATCACAATGGTAAATATAGACTAAATAATTTCACATATAAATTGCTTTGACAGCAAATAATGTATTGTAAGTGAGCAATAAATAAACAGAATACAAAAAAAAAAAAACAAAAAAAAACATTGGATACCCTATCTAAAGCGCTAAAGCTAAGTATTTCAGTATTCTAGTTTCTGGGATCTGGAAACCTCATACCACTTTAAAATGATAAAACACTGTTCCATCAAACAAAGTTAAAAATGCAGTAGAAATAATCTTTTCGTAAAATTAAATAATGGCCAACGTTAAGAAACTCTATTGGGGGTTTAAAATGCTCAATATAACACAATTTCCACTATTTCCAGATAAGTTAGGTATACACAAATTGAGAATATACAGGTGGGGAATGGACACATAATGAAATGCGGTGTAAGCCTTCTTAGCTACCAACTTCTGTAACTAAGCAATCTGCAATGGTGGTAATAAAATATTCCAAACAGATCAGTTTTTGTAAAATAATAACTTTTTCCTACCACTGCATGGATATAATCACATTGAAGCACCTAAAAATACAGTACACAAAATAGATGAACATTCCTGATTGCTAAATCAGAAAATCACTAAATCAGCTGATTTCACTGTTGGCGTTCATACGGCCATCTACAGTTCTTGAGCGCTACAGTTCAATGATACTTTGCGCTCTTCATACACAAATAGGTATTTCATTACTAAAAGCCCTAAACATTCACAGCAATTATCACATAACTGGAAGTCATTTGTGAATGGCTGGACTCCGAGCCAGGTCTTCAGGACAACAGTCCTATGCCTTGACTAAAAAAACAGTTGTATCTTAGTTTAGGTAAGTCTTAAATTAACGTTAGAACAGTTTTCCAGCACAAATTAAATTTTATAGGGAATATATATATCATCAGCAGATTTGCTTTAAAATGTTATCATTGTGTGTCCAGTCTTGTCCACCCTCAACAACTAAAAGAATCATCCCTCTCTGTCAATGTCAAAATTGTAAACAATCCACGTTGACATTTTTGGTCAGATTTACAATGATCGAACAACATTAAATAAGTTAACTGAGAGATTACGCTGATCATTCACAATTTTCACAAAACACAAAAATTGTATCTTACAGATATAAAAACAATAACATTTTGTGAAAGCCATACACAATTTATAAGGCTTTCAACAGTAAAATTATTGGTGTCCAAGTTTGTAGAGTTGGTTGAGTTGAGAAATCATCACAGTCTGTTGGTGGTAAAACTTCGGTGCATTACCCAAAACCCATGACAAATTTTGGGATTTGGTAGGTGAAAGCTGGTATCGCCATGATCATGGACATCCTAGAAACATTGCAAGTTTAAGCATTTTGTAAAACTACCCATATTATTTTATTTGAGTTAGTTGTCAAATGAAATAGTGGTTTACGCAATGATTGCGTAAAGATTGTGTTAACCAAACGAGTAGAACGAACTTTTACGAGCGTCGTTAACACTATTCACGCGAGTTGCGTACACTTTACCTACGACAGTGTTTTAATTACTAAAACTCACTAGGTACTCATAACTTCTAGGAAAGGTCAAAAACTTGGCCAAAAATTGTGATATTTAAGTTATTTTTTATTTGTTTTTTAACTTGATTTTGTTTTATAGGAAATTTTAAACGCTAAATGAAAGTGACCTTAAATTTTTTCATATAATCAGCAACTTTTTTAGTTATGAAAATTTCAAAATTGAAATGGCCGCCATTTTAAAATATTGAATCGGATCAAGATAACTTTATTTAATATGGGTCTCTTCTACCTTAAAAAAACATACCTAGTTTCATAAAGATTGGTTGGAACAATCAGAAGATACAAATGTTTACCGGTATGTGGAAAATACCAATTTGCGGATATCTGGTTAACAAAGCGATTTTGGAAAAAAATGTTATCATTGATTTTCTCTTTATTTTGCTCATAGAGCCATTTCCCGGAGTTTTGCTGTTTACTAATGGGACATCCTGTATAGCAAATTTTACCTCTATGTAACAAAACTTATATGATTATACCTCATAATAAACTAACACAATGCACAAAACAATCATGTATTGACATTAAAGCTTAGTTATAAAGACAAACAATTTATTATGCTTTTGGGGAAAGTTACGCGTTTGAGGAGGGGGTTCAGCTTGTAAGTGAGAAAGGTGTAAAAAAGAAAAGGAAACAGTGTCATACTATGATGACAAAGATTAACAAAGTTAAATGCCTGACCTGCCTGTAAAAGAGAATCCTCATGATCAATGAGAGTAAGAACAGTTGTAGTAATTTTAATTACTACAATTAATTAAATTAATTCTTACCCTTGTAGTATGTAGTACTCTAGCAATAGGCGACAAGGAGCGTCTCGCAATTTAGTGTTATAATTAAATAATAATTAGAGAATAACGTTAAATCTCAATCCGAGTACTCAAACCTAACTGGGCATAACAACAAAATTTTAAAATCTACAGAATCCAAAACAAATGATACTACTCACCACTCCTTCACAGCTCATTTCATTACTAAACTACAGCTAATACATAAAGCTGGGCGTTTAAGTTGTATACAGTTAATTCTATTATTAAAATAAAAATTATTTTAGTGTTCTATTGAAAGATAGTTAGCAGCACTTACCAAAAGAGAGAGCCAACCACCAGCAAAGTTGTATCTAGACCTGTAGAACGTGAGGAAGCTCTTCCCTGTACATAATATAACCAAAACCTTTACATGCACATATCTTATATACATAAATAATACTGCCACATATGTTGGATTACTACCTATATATATATACATATATACACACGTTTAGGGATTTTACCTAATTCATCCTTTATTTTCTAGTTTATCTCTTTGATGATATTTTATCGCTTTATAAATATTTTTTGCGGAATTAGTTGCCATTCAGTCTTCTTTAGATTCAATACAATTTATTAAAATAGAATAACTACACACTTTAGCAGGAATAAACTTATGCAAGTTGGATCAGGTTGAGTAAGATTAAGAAGGTTATTTGATTGTCATTGTTCCCATGGCCAATCAGGCGTAGTAAAACTTCGGCCCAGTAACGTTTCCGCCAAACTCAAATTTCTTAGAAAACCAGTAACACTTCTTACCACTCGCTTTTACAGTTGATTAAATAAGCTAATGGAGTAACATTAGCTTATGTAACGTGTAATATTTTGGCCTGACAAAAGATTACGTGCTCGTACAGCGTGTGCTCGTAAAGCGCAACAGAAAATGGTGGAATATCATGCTCGTACAGTGCAGTCTACTTGGAACGCCCGTCCGTCTGTCTGTCTGTCTGTCTACCTGCTCTGTACTTCAATAAACTAGCAGTACGGGCTTTCTCGTAATTTATGAATGACCTTTTGAATTGTCGATAATTTATTGCGTGCCTGTGTTTACTGTACATGAACTGTCTGGTTTTCTTTGTTTATTATTTTTGTTACAGTTTAAATAAAGTGCAGTCCTGAACTTATTACAGTTTTTTCTTGTATTTACCTACTGCTATTGTTTGTATAAGTAAATTCTCAGGGTTTTGTTAACGTTTTTATAGTTTTAAGGCATAAAAATAGCGTATGTTTGAAAATCCGGATTTTTTGATAATCTGGATGGGGTCCGGTCCCAATTAATCCGGATTATCGACGTTCTACTGTATATCTATATAATATTAGATATTATTCTATATTTAATAGCTCAGGCTGGAACACTATTTACTATTTTTTGCATAATATTTTATTATATAGCCTACTTTAAGATGTCTGATCACAACTACTGTGACTGATCTAGTGATTTACGTGAGTTCCAATTCTATGTGGCAAGGAGACACGCAATTCAAGTACTAGGCCTAGTGTAGGTTGTATGGTAATAAAAACTGTTATATGTATTTTTTTAGGAACAAGGTACATGTATTATATACCATTCTTTTCGTCACGGAATTGTGCATAATTTGTATATTTTGAAAAATTATTTTGAGTTAATTGATTTGTGTTATAATACGGAATTATATATGAATATAAAAAAAAAGTTTCCGCTTAATATATATACAAACAATTTTTTTTTGTAAATTAAAATTTCATATCTAAAATTCATATAGTATTATTCTTTGTTTTTTGCTGAAAAAAATCCTTATATATAATATAATATATTTACAAACTTATTTACTGTTTAAAAATGTGTTATAAAAAATGTTGCGCGACCCCAAAAAAACCCTTGCCACCACAGCATAAAAAGACCACCAGCTCGAGGGTTAATAAATATCACCTTTGACTATTAATCACTAAAATAGCCCAGTGTTAAACAAAGTTGACTGAAAGTGATGATGACAATGATAATATGATGCAATGTTGTTACACACAAATTTCACTGAAAAACCAATAAAATCTAATGAAACAGTTTACAAGCAATGGCAATGTTTGAAAGTAGAGCTCCAAGTCAGAACGTTATGATACCTTGGTTTTTGTCTGTTTAAGTAAACTTAAACATTACAAACAAATTGATGATTCGCAGTAGCAGTAGCTGAAGAATGCACAATTAATCAAACATACATTTTACCATAGTCATGAGATTAAAGAAACATAAAAATATTCAACTATGATTCATGAGTTTGTTATTTCATAGAATGAGATTTAGAAATTAGAATGCATAATAAATGAGAGAACTGATGTTCTCTATAATGGTCAATATGACATGCACAAATGATGCATACACTTGCAAAGTTTAATGAGGTTAATCTTTTTATTAGTTAGCCCTTTGAGTTTGAATGTTTTTCCATTTTTAGGCGAGTATAGGTTGCCATTTGACCAGTCGGGAAAATGGCACCCGACGACCTTTACTCGCCGTTCGACCGCAAAGATAAAGCAAATATTTTGGTTACCAAAATATTTGCAATTAAGCAATCAGGTTTTAAGAAATTTTATGATTCATCCGCAATAAAAGTCACGAAGAAAATTTAAAAGGATTTTGAAACATATAAGAAGAATGCTGATTGATATAGGAGAGCATTATTAAATGGATCTTTCTGCTCACAATTAATGGAAACCATTTTAACCTACTAGTTTTGGAGCACATCTCAAAGGCTGGAATATATGAAATATTTCATAACGAGTGGCAAAATTTAAAGGAAAACCCAACAATTACTGTAAAAGGATTTACACATTTTACTTGAAATTCTTATCTACTACAGTTTTGGAGCAAACTATCCGCATTATTAATTACAAGTTATTCAATTAGGGTCTTAACAACAAATAACTACTTACAACATATTATCACAGATAAGAGGAAATACTGGAAGTTAATCAAGCCTAGTTGACTTTAGGAACTAAATTAGTGTATTAGTGTGAGAGTTAAACACTATGAGGGGTCGACATGCTCTAAGTCCGTGCACCATGCCAACAGCCAGCCTTGCCAACTGAAGCCAAAAACATACGATAGAGCGATGCCGTTGTAGAGCCAGGCACGCCAGCCGGTGCGAGTGTTGGCGTCAATGCGGCTCTCAATCTCCTGACAAAGAGTGCGGCGGTCGTGTGATCGGCCGGACCTTAGATCACAGATCAACCTTTTCTTGCACTCAGCGTCACAGGCTGGCCGCACCGGAGAGTTCTTCCAATAGTATCTGAAAGAAGAAACGGCTGAGTGAGACGTTTGTGAAACACTCGATAACCCTTAAGTTACAGATGTTCTGAGATTAGATAACATTTATACAACACACAACAGGTGAGGGTCAGTGAAGGATGAGTGGTGAATGAATGAGGTGACCAAGATCAGCTGGTTATATAGCCTGCACTATTTACTAAACACACAATGATAAAGGAAAGCTCAATCCAGTTTTAAATAATCAAAAAGCTACAGACAGACCTTTTTCAGACTCACAAATAGCAAAGTTCCGATTTTCAGGTGAGCACTATATTAACTCAGCATTAGGATGGTCTGAGGGAACAGACCTCAGCATCACTTTATCTGTCAGCATAAGCAAGGTATTAGAGATTGCAGAGAGAACATAGTAGCAAATGAGAACTAAAATTAAGGCAAATAAATCTCCAAGATGTCTATTTGTTTTCTTAGATAAAATATTATGTGACTTTTTGGTGACCAATTAATGAATGTTTTACAACATGCTTAGCTTTTTAAATATAGGCCAAAGAGTAAAATAACTGGAATTTTAGAAACCTTGAATTAATCCCTTGGTATAAATCATCATAGCACTTAAGTGCACTAAAAGATTTATTTTTCTTTAGACTGTATTTAGGCCTATAATTTATTTAAAAAACCAAAAAATAGTGGTGGATGAAAAATATTTTTTTATGAATCATTTTATTTCTGTAGCATTAATAGAAATTTGTAAATTATAAAGCCTTAGCAAAATGAAAAAACAACGAATGTAGTAGGCACCCTTGAGTGTGTTATTTTCTCTCCCCTTGATAGTCCTTGACAACAAAAAGCACCAAAATGTCTAACCAAAAATAACACAATTGCTTGGATGGGCAAAAGGTGAAGGTGTGAGAGGATTTTTTTTTTTTTTTTTTTTTTTTTTTGTCCTAAGGACGCTAGGCACGAGCCTGGGATTGTTTTTCACATTACTTCAGGCTAGACCTAGGGGTTGCGGCAATATCACTTAGATAAAATCCATTGGTGACTTGGCGGGGATCGAACCCGGGACCTCAGGGACTGAAGTCCCGCGCTCTAACCACTACGCCAGCTTGCTCCCCCAAGGTGTGAGAGGATTAGCATTGTTATTATACAAGGTCAAATCCTCATTCTCTGAAGTACAAAACCAAAACTTCCTTTACAAACTCCAAACAAAAGGCGACTAATCCCATCAAAGGATCTCCATTAACAAAAGAGTTTATTTCTGAAAGTTCAAAATTGTTAACATATGGATATAACACATGGATTGGTGAACATTAAAATAGGCTTGTGTCATTATATTTTTAACAATAATAATTTGTTCGTCTGTAAAGGTGTGTGTTATTTTAAAATTACTAAGAAATGTCATTATTTCTATAATTTGGCAATGTAAATCAACTTTCACCTCTTAACTCCCATTTAGTTTCTATCTTTAAAACAGAACATTGGAGTTAGCTTAGGTGCCCCCTTTTGCTTGGCGCCCTATGCGACCACGTACTTTGCTTACCGCTTAAACCGACCCTGATTCAACCTAACTCTACCAACCTGTAGTACTGGTCGAACACTGTCTGGTTCTCGGCCAGTTTGTTGACCAGAGTATCTAGCTCCTGGGGTAGCAAGCTGGGTACCTGGAAGGCTGTTCTCATGCTGTACAACTTGTACCAGATGGGGTAGTCGTACAAGTTGGCTTCCTTCAGGTTCATAATCCATGTCTCATGGTCCACCACCATCTAGGGATAAGTTAATATTTCAAATAATAGTCCATTAACATTTCTATTTGTATAGATCTTGTTAAATAATATTAACCTTAGACTTAATAATACCCTGTCTGGCTGAAAAAGTTGGGTGGTTCGAGTGGAAGTTGCATGGATGTCTGGATTCTTTATGATGGTTAATTATAAAAATGATAATTATTTACAAGCCAATAACTTTATCTTGTTCAAAGGTTTATTGCGGACATTTTCCATCACGAAAGTAAAAAACAATACACAACGTTTCGGGATCTGGAATCTGATCCCGTCTTCAGGTGAAAAAACTTAACTAACACATTACAACTAACAATACACAAACGCCCAACCTAAGTTGGAATACACTACCGAGGGTAGTAGTAAAAAAATATGCACTGTATAGCAGTCAAGTCATGATACAACATGCAATTAATAACAAATCACAAAACACTATAATCTATAAAAGGTTTACGTACAAAAAACTCACACAATGGAACACTAACAACACCGTACGCTATGACTCCACCAATGAAACTGAACCAACATGGCTGATCAATCGGAAACACGGAGACAACAGAAATGGCTTCCGGTCCCTGGAAAAGTAAAACCAACAGAATGGCGGAGCGATGTACGATGCCGCAAGATGGGTGTTAATTATGTTTATTCCTATCACGAGTTTTACTACGAGTTAACATAACGTGCGAATTTTGAGGATAAGTAATCCTCCGCCATTCTGTTGGTTTTACTTTTCCAGGGACCGGAAGCCATTTCTGTTGTCTCCGTGTTTCCGATTGATCAGCCATGTTGGTTCAGTTTCATTGGTGGAGTCATAGCGTACAGTGTTGTTAGTGTTCCATTGTGTGAGTTTTTTGTACGTAAACCTTTTATAGATTATAGTGTTTTGTGATTTGTTATTAATTGCATGTTGTATCATGACTTGACTGCTATACAGTGCATATTTTTTGACTACTACCCTCGGTAGTGTATTCCAACTTAGGTTGGGCGTTTGTGTATTGTTAGTTGTAATGTGTTAGTTAAGTTTTTTCACCTGAAGACGGGATCAGATTCCAGATCCCGAAACGTTGTGTATTGTTTTTTACTTTCGTGATGGAAAATGTCCGAAATAAACCTTTGAACAACATTAACTCACCATCACCAACAATGAACTTCAAACAAAGAACTTTATCTTACTTCAAAACTAGTAGAAACCTGTTAAAAAAATATAAGGCCTTAGACAAATTAAACCATTAAACCATTCAAAAGGAAAATTGTCTTTAGTTTGGCTTAGGCTAGAATAAAAGTGGCTGGTAACTACCATTTAAAACAGAAATTAACCTAAAACCTACGACCAATAACACAAAAACTAAACCAATAAGTTTCAACTGACACATAACTACCATATATATTTGCTCCTAAAAACGTTCCTGTAAACAAACCGGTGACTCAAATGCCACACAAATAGATGAAAAAAAATAAATTACAAGAAAGTTATTCTAAGTTTCTAAGTATGTGGTTAGAGTGACCGGCTGCCGTGTTAACTCTTTGGGGATAAAACTAAACTCTCACCCTGGTTGATTTATCATGGTCTCCGTCCACGTAGTATATCCGATAGCCAGGGTTCAGGTCATTGTAAGGCGTCACTGAAGGTCCGATGAAAGCCACGTTGATAGCTCGTCCAAGGTCCTCGTTATCGTAGAACAATTCAAACTCGTCGTAATGAGTGTGACCGAAAAACTGTGCCGTGATTGTTGATTCATACCTGGAAAGATGAATGAATTATGTTTATTGAATGTCTAAACTAGTATAATTCAAAATACTCCCGCTGTAGTAAACCTGAAGATCTAGCGAATTTCCATTTGCCTGATTTCTCCTTTATTGATAATCAGGCTAACTTCGATGGTGACGTTAGCCGTCTATGACAACGAAATGCCGCCGTCCATTATTATTTACAACCCACGGCAAATTTACCCGTAATATTAAGGCAAAGAAAAAGTCACTATAACTAAAATTGTCTGAGTCACTTTACCTATGGTTAGTTTAGTTGGTTTTAGGGTTAGTTAGGTTAGCCTATACTAAAACTACAGACATATTGACTCAAAAATGTAACAAATAAGTATAACTTAACAATAATTTCTACTTAGCTCTTTCAATCTTCAACAAACACTACCGCTGCCTTCCACTATCACAAAACAACAGGTCGTTTAGCACTACACTGTAACTGTGGTCATGGACGTGGAATGAAGTGAGGTTAGTTTAGGGTAGTGTGGATGATGGCTCCAGCGCTGCCAACATAATTCTTCCTATCCTAATCTTGTGTGATGTAGAATTATCCAGTTTAGGGTGGCTGCCCTTATTTATGAATGCACGCTTAACTTTGGACTCTGCCCCAGAGTCCCTATTATAAAGCATTGGAATGACGTCACGGCACCCTTAGCGCTGTTAGGTGTTTCTACCATAAGACTACAAGCATTGAGTTTGGTTAAAATCCATATTTTTTAGCCCCTGAGCTGATCTTGAGACTAAATCATTAAATAGAATTACCTTCCTCAATCAGATCATTGTAGTATTTATATTGTTACAGCCGTTTCAGCATCTTCGTGCCATCATCAGACATTCAGCCTTAGTGGGGTCGTTAATATACAAAAACACAAACTGTCACACGCGACGTACACATACATAAACAAAGACCTCGTGAATTTAAACTTGACATAATAAGATTCCTCATTGTATTGTTAGTACTGTATACTTTATTCAAGTCGGACGTAGAACGGGTACACAGCTAGTCATAGCTATGAATTTACACAGCCGGAACAGCTAGCTAGCTACCTGACCAATTAAGCCCCTCTGTATGTTAATACTTTACAGGGTGATTGGTACTTAGTGTGACAAAAAATTTTTGTTGTAAGTACAAAGTAAATGAAGTGTGATGATGCATATCAAATGTTCCAAGTTCAAAAATTAGCTTCCCAAAAAATTATTTTATGTTTTTCAAAAATAACCATGCTTTTAAACTTAATACAGCGATTTCTCAATTACCTGTATATGGATTTGAGCAGATAATGTCATTTTTGTGTTCTACATTAAATTTTGAATAAGAATAATACAAAATGACAGAGGATCAGTCGTAAAAACTCCATTGTAAATAAATAGATTCAAAGATAAAAATTAAGATGTTTTATAAAAATTTATAAAAAAACCATGGTTTATTGCATTTTTCACACCCTGTATACAAGAAAGTGTCGGAATATCTTAAAAACTGCGCCATTTTATAAGCTATCCAACCATATGCTACACTATTGAGGTTTAGAAATATTTTCGTTTGTTTTAGTGGTTTGAACGCCAGAAAACAGGGAGTTTTTTTAACTGTTTTACTGTTCAAGCTGAAACAAAAATACAGCTTTTGCTTGATAAATGCCAACTTTCTATGTTTTAAATGTTAAAGAAACCATGCTTTGTAGTCTTCAAACCACTAAAGCGTACATAAGCAGACATAAAGCTCAATGGTGTAGCATATGGTTGGAAAGCTTATAAAATGGCGCAGTTTTTAACATATTCCGACACTTTCCTGTATACAGGGTGTGAACAAATGTAATTGACACATGTTTTTTTAAATTTTTATCAAACATCTTAATTTTTATCTTTGAATCTATTTACAATGAAGTTTTTACAACTGACCCTCCGTCATTCTGTATTATTCTTATTCAAAATTTAATGTAGAACACGAAAATGACATTATCTACTCAAATCCATTTACAGGTTATTGAGAAATAGCTGTATTAAGTTTAAATACATAGCTATTTTTGAAAAACATAAAATAATTCTTTGGGAAGCTAATTTTTAGACTTGGAACATTTGATTGATATGCATCATCACACTGCATTTACTTTGTACTTACACCAGAAAATTTTTGTCACACTGAGTACCAATCACCCTGTATACTATATATCTTTTGAATCTTAAAGGCTTAAGTCTTTAAAAATGATTCTCAATATCGTACACAATACTATTATCATTTAAACAAACTTAAACTATTTTCTTAACATACCTGTTGATGATGGCGTAGTAGTTTCTACTCCAAACTTTCAGACAGTCACTGTGTCCGGGAGGAATGTGTCCGATGACATGAACTTTCTCTCCGTTAAACTCAGCACTCTGCAACTCGTAAATGAACCACTGCAACTCCTTAGCTGGGTCCGTGCTGTTAAGGAGCAACCACCTACAGAGGGAGTCATCATAAACTGCTGTTAAGGTCACTCAATAAAAAAATCTAAAAACAATTAACAAAAGTAATTTTACTAAGCTGCAAATGCATTTCAGATAGCAAAGTTGCTACATATAATATGGATTGTAACTACAATTTAATACAAGATTTCCCATAGATTGCTCCATTTTCTTTGCATTAGCATTGTACTCCATACCCAATGGAGTATCCATGTATGTTTCAATCCAAAAACAATATATTTTTCCCTGATTGATAAAGAGAATCGCAAACAATGATGAAACCTTGTACAGTAGACTCTCAGTAAGCCGGCAGATGTAGGACCGTGATACTGCCAATTGTTATCAATAAAAACACTTAAAATGCACTTAAAACCCGTCTCTAAAGATCACGCGATCGGAAACCGCTATTGCCGCAATCGGGCATCACGACGATGACGTTTCCGTGAACGCGGGAGGCGATGATAACGTCTACATGACCGCGGGAGATGTTCATGATTTTGCCGAAATCGCAGAAGACCTCACCCGTCAAAAGTCGCCGGATTACTGGGGTGCTGTAGTGGGGCAGTGCCGCATTATAGTGGGTCTACTGTAGTTACTGTTTCCTTTGGTATCATCGCAGCACTAGTCCTCAACACTTTGAGGGAGGCTCAAGCTCTTAAGAGTAAAATATTAGAAATTTAAAACATTTATGTAAATAGAACATATTTGGAAAATATTTTTGTACACCTTAATAGTTGAAATCAGTTAAATTATTTTGGAGGCTTATTAATTAACAAAAAGAATTATGTTATTAATAAAAGGAGAAGCACTATCTTGCACTCATTTGTACTCACCCTTAGCCACATCTATTGCTTGATACATTGTTCAAACTTCACAGACAATGCATTACAGTAGTCCTTACATTTATACAGTAGTGTATTATATTTCACTAAGAATAACAAAAGTCAATGGAAGTATATAATCAATGGTATAGCTAGACAAGATACAGTCTACTAAACCCAAGTCACTAAGCACTAACCAGTTCTTATTGTTGCAGTAGTTCATATTGAGTGAGATGATTCTGAAGCCCGGTCGTACCAGGACGCTGTAGAAGGCTCCTCGACGTACCGTGCGTGACACCGACGATGGCAACCACTTGCGCCACTCCTTATCTAGCGCAGAGTACAACCAGTCAATACCATAGTCGTTCTGGACAAATGGAGGTGGGAAACTGTAACAAAGTTGTACATTTTCAGTTTTATTCAGAGTAAACATAAAAATTACCACATTATTCTTAAGCCTGACTTTATATATAAACCTCCTCTTTGGCTTGTGAAACCTCAGTACTTCAGTGCTCAGTACACAATGCACATCTTAGGCTGTTGTTAATTTTCAGTTTTTTTTAAACAAATCTAATGTCAACAATCTTGGTTATAACTGATATAAAATAGATTTAACATTTAGTCTAGGAGCTAGGCCATGTCTCATGTGCACTTATATGTCCCCTGAGTTTTGTTGCGGTGCTGTGTTCAAAACCTATGGGAGCTAAAAAAACAGCTGGTCACGTGGTCCAGATCATGGTCGTTAGGCCACCATATTGGAAAATGGCCGCCAAATTGCTAGATTATTTGCTAATACGTATCTCCGTACCCAGTGGTCCGATTTTAATATTGTAAAGCTCATTTTACTCCTTAACTGAAGGCAAACAAACTTGGTCATTACACATGTTTTGTTAAACCCATTATTGATTGAGATATATGAACATTTTAAATCTATATATTTAAAAATAGTGGTTTTTTCTTTTCCGAGTCGGATTAGCTCATTTACCTGACCAATTTTCACAATTTTGGTCTTAAATTGATGGTATGTACAAAAAGTATATTTTGAGTTATTCACAAAAGCAACTTCCTCTCTTTACATTTCTTAGGGAGTTAAATTTGTTTTTTCTTTTCCGAGTTCGTTTGACTCTTCTACTCAACCGGTTTTCATAATTTTGGTCTTAAATTAAAGGTATGAACGGACAGATTTGCCATCAAGCATCATCCTTCATTTGTATACTGTATTACTCGACCAAACAAATTGATTTCTTTTTAATTCTTTCTTAAGTTTTTGGTAGACCATGTCTCGTTGTATATTTTATCAGTAGATCAATAATAGATAGATCAAGTCCACAACGTTAATGGAATTACTAGGTGAAACCCGTCGAAATCGACAGTTACTGCTGAAGTTTCACGCAAAATAATTTAACCTATCAATCGATGATAAATAAGTTCATTTTTGGGTAAATTTTGGTTGTTGGTGATTAAGCAGCATGCTTTAGGTTCGTCCGATCTTAATAATCAATAACTCAAATAAAAGCCGGCATTTCACTTAAGTTTCTTGGATCAAAATATATTCGATATCTGAGAAATAATCAGATTTGTGTTTTTAGCGAATTTCCCATATAGGGAATAAGCTATTACCGTAGTACTCATGGTAAGACCTGGACCCGGGACCGATTTAATTTTTCATTTTGAGGTCCCTAGAGACCAAAAACATCCTTTCAAATTCATATATACCACGTCCAGCCTAAAGTTTTCCAATAGCTAACTTTTTAATTTTAAATCTGACAAACAACTTCTTATGGGGGACTTCCCTTTATTTTTTATTCTGCATTTTGGGGTGATTTCGAAATTTTTCCAAGAAGAGTTTGCTATTGGAAAACTTAAGGCATTTCTTATGGCGGAAAATAAACTTTAACCGTTCATATCTCCTTAACCATTGGTTTTATGAAAAAATACCTAAGAACAAAAATGTCTTAAAATAGCCTATAGTATCCAAAAACACCATAAAATACAGGGTTTTCCATAAGAAAAAACAAAGTTGTCCGCCATATTGGAAACTGGCGGCCATTTAGAAAAATTTCGAAATCACCCCAAAATGCAGAATAAAAAATAAAGGGAAGTCCCCCATAAGAAGTTGTTTGTCGGATTTTAAATTAAAAAGTTAGCTATTGGAAAACTTTAGGCTGGACACCCGGTATATATATAGGCTATATATATATGTGTGTCCGTTAGTGCGATAACTCGAGCAAAAATGATCCGATTTTGATGAAATTTGGTACAAACGTGTAAACCTACTATTATTTGAACGAGTTCGCGATCCAGCATAATCGGAAATGAGCTTTTCCCATTTTTGACCCTAAAAAGAAAAAAAATTGCAATTTCTTTCTAAACCGTTTTGTAGAGCTTAAACAATTTAATAATTTAGTATATTGAAGCGCTGTTGTATGCCTAACGGTCACGGAGAAAATTCAAAAATAGTGTAATTTAAAATTCCCATGTTATTCTTATGGAAAAAATGAAAATTGTTGTATATTACTTGTTTATGGATATATATTGATAAAATTTAGCAAATTTACTTATTTCATCCTATACTATTGACGTATGGTCAAAAACACTTTTTACCTTCCCCCTAGCAGCAAACCTAAGCACTCGTTAAATCTAATGTTATTTAAATAGGGAATATTTTTATGGAAATATTTTAGTAAAAATGTAATCAGACAAGTTGAAATTCGCTTAGTCTGCAGGTTTGCTGCGGCGGGGGTATTTTATTGAGTATACAGTAGGTATCTTAACTTAACTGATTCAAACGATAAATATCTCAATTTAAAGCCTTTATTTCTAGGAGTATTTTAATACCAAGACATATAAAATAACTACAATAAAAATGGAGTTCGTATCATGGATTGCAGATCCTGAAATAATTATAACTAGTGTACCCGTTGCTCGAATTCGAGCAATTGCGAAGCATTACAGGTGTTATTTTAAAACGAATAACGGTCATAATTTCCGATGACTTTATAAAAGTCGAGTCAAAGATTATGGAAATATTCACGATGTACACAACAGTTATATAATATAAATTGTTTGTTAATATCTTATCTTTTTTCAAAAGCTGATCTTGTTTTTTAGTGTTTTCTACAAATGTTTCCCACTCATAGCCCCATTAGGTTCTCTATAATAACGATTATAAATGGGAAAAAAAAACATTATTTCTATTTCTTCTAATTCAGTTTAATTTTTAGAAGGCCTATATCAAATTGTCCAGGATTTCTCGTTTTTTTCCATTGTAATAGTTACACCAACCCAAGTATCGTCTACGGATGCAATACGCCAAAGAATATCATCTACGTGCAACACACCTACGTACAATCTCCAAGAAGTGGTAAAAAAGGCAGAAACCAACCCACACAATAGACATAAGTTACTGTAACTCCATAAGAAATAATTTTTAGTGTTACTGGGATATTAGGATTATCCACTGATTTGGATTGCACATTATCACATTACAACATTACAACATTATATTGCAAAACATGACACGATGCAGAAGAAAATCGATTTTGAAATCAGGAAAAAACCTTTGCAAATACTTCATTTTGACAGATTTAGTAAATCACAATTTAAATATTAACAGCTGTTTGATTAAAAAGTAATGTAAAATTATACATATGGTCATAATGTAAACAAATCTGCTGAGGGGACTTTAAATGCCTCTGGGGCAGAGCCCCAAGGGAATTTACCTCGTCTCTCTTTTGATGGCTCATCTACAGACCAAGGCCTTTCTTTAGAGACCCCTACCAAGTTTGTACGCCCAGCCGTTCTCTGGAATTAGCTGTGACAAAAACCCGTTTTTCCCCCATAAGAATAATATGGGATGGGAATTTAAAGGCCACTGGGGCAGAGCCCCAAGGGAATTTACCACGTTTCTCTTTTGATGGCTCATCTACAGACCAAGCCCTTTCTTTAGACACCCCTACCGAGTTTCTACGCCCAGCCGTTCTCTCAAATTAGCTATGACAAAGTAAAACAGTTTCAAATTAATATATAGATTATTGTTGATTCATAATTCAATAGAGTGCTTCAGTTACGTCCAATCTTAATAATCAATAGATCAAATGAAAGCTGGTATTTTCCTTAAGCTTCTTAGACCAAAACATATTTAATAATGCAATTAGAACTGGTGAAATACATCCTTTAATATAAGTGAGAATTCAAAAAAGATTTGTTTTTTGGTCGAGTAATACAGTAGACTAACGAATGATGATGCTTGATGGCAAATCTGTGTGTACATACCTTTATTTTAAGACCAAAATTATGAAAATCGGGAGTTTAGAAGAGCCAAAGGAACTCGGAAAAGCAGAAGCAAATTTAACTCCCATAAGTTACTGGGAGGAAGTTGCTTTTGTACATAACTCAAAATATACTTTAGGTAAATGAATGCCGGTGCTTGATAGCAAATCTGTGCGTGCATACCTTTAATTTAAGACCAACATTTATGAAAATCAGTCGGGTTGAAGAATTAAACCGACTCAGAAAAGAAAAACCATTTTTTAATAATATATGGATTCAAAGTGTTAATATAGATCAATAAATAATGGGTATAATAAAACATGTGCAATGACAAAGTTTGTTTGCCTTTGGTTAAGGAGTAAAATGAGTAATACAAAATTAAAATCGAACCACTGGGTATGGAGATACGTATTAGCAAATAATCTAGCAATTTGGCGGCCATTTTCCAATATGGTGGCCAAACGACCATGATCTGGACCACGTGACCAGTTGTTTTTCTAGCCCCCATAGGTGTTGAACAAAGCCCCACAACAAAACTTAGGGGACATACAAGTGCACATGAGACATGGCCTAGCGCCCAGACTAATTAACAAAAATTAAAATTAAGGACTGACCTGTTAACTGGAGCAGCCTCATGATTTCCCAGAGCAGGGAAAATGGGGATTCCTGGGAATAATGTTGTCATTTGCTCCACTGTTTGTTTCAGGACCATCAGATTCTCGTCTCGGGTTTGATTCCAAACGTCATGAGGCGGAAGATCACCAGTCCACAATATATAGTCAATGTCCTAGAATACGATTTGTGTATAAAATAGGAGAGTGGTAGCCTTGTTTTCTAAAGTAAACGTATACAGTGTGCTTAAGGTTATTTTAAAAGGAAATGTAAGTGGCACACATTCATTAGCGTACTATTAGTCCAGGAGCAAACTGCACATATCCAGCATCCGTGGGATTTTTTGTGAAGCAAATGTGTGACTATGTGGAATCTCTTTATTATATGTCACATAATGGTGTAGTACCGGGTGTTTACCCTCAAATTGTGGGGTTTGGTTTTTATGACGTCGTAAATCCAAGATGGCCGCCATGTGTGACATCTATTCACTAAATTAATAATAACTCTTTTTAGAGTAAAATAATCGAATTTTAATTTACACCATTGAATTCAGCTCAAAAAATCAAACAATTTGGTGTTTTGAATCATTGCTCTATGACCATTGGTTACCGAGATATTGAAGGCGGAAAACACAGAACATTGTCGCCATGTTATCCTTATGGGGAAAAAATAAAATTGTATATCTAGCTTATTACTCAGCATATCTTAATAATAATTGGTATGTGGCTTCATTTAGTAGAGATCTACTTGATTATGGCCTAAAATCCCCCATTTTTACATTTCCGTGGCAGCAAACCTGCATACTAACTTCCAATGTTATTCTTATGGACAATTTTTTGCATGCTTGTTCATGAACATACTTTGAGAAATGATGATGCGTGGCTCCATTTTAATTATTTATTGAAGCATTTGTAATTCGTTGAGTATACAGGTCTGCTGCTACGGGTAGGTCTGCTATAAACAAATTATAGGTATTAGAAAATAAAATAAATTAGACTATAGTTGTGAGGCATATGTAATTTTGTAGGATTTTGAATTAAGCAATTGTATGATTGTTGGCGATTGATAGGTAATGACATGTAGAACCGTGTACTACCGAGTATTTTGTCTGAAAGTGTGGCCAAGCTGGTGTTTTCGGTCGCCATCTTGGATTCGCCATATTGGATGTTAATAACTTTTTTATACAATGCTAGTGTTGTGACACATCATTATGAACTAAATTTTCACGCTGATTTCAATGCTGAAATATGTTTTTAAATATATTTTTTCGTTTGGAAGATATATTCAAATAAAAACTATGATTGGTGGTGATAGATAGGTAGTGACATATAGAATCGTGTACTACCGGGTGTTTTGTCTGAAAGTGTGGCCAAGCTGGTGTTTTTGGCCCGCCGTCTTGGATCTACCATATTGGACATTAATATAATTTTTTAAATGTAATGCTGGTGTTGTGACTTAGCATTATAAACTATAGATGTTTACGCTAATTTCAATTCCGAAAACCGTTTGTAAATATATTGAAATGAAAACTCCCCCCCCCCCATACATCTTTTACGGACGTTTTGTACTTTGATTATTTTTCTCATATATCGAGTTCTTATTGTCGCTTGCAATTCGTTTTAAAGTATTCAGTGATGTAAGGGCTTTTATTTAAGCTATCGATCATTAAAATCGGACGAGTTAGAGTTGAGCTATGAACCACAACACAATATTAAATTTAACTTTTTCCAAATCAGTTTTATGAAAAGATTTATATCTCGGTTTGTTAATACGACAAAAGGTTCATTCTAGTCTTAAATTACTGAGTAAATGTCTGGTTTAAAATGTTATTAATCACTAAATGAAATCTGACTAATTGAAAATGACTCATGGGCCTTTATTTAACATTAATAATTATTTTTATTTAAAAAATTTTCTTTGGTTAAAGCAATTAAAGACATACAGGGCTGGTCATCAGGGTTACAACATTTGTTTGGTGTAAGTACAAAGTAAATTAGGTGTGATGAGGCATATAAGACTAAAAGGTTCCACGTCTAAAAATTGTAACACTGATGACTAGCCCTGTATGTCTTTAACCAAAGAAAGTTTTGGACATAAAAATAATTTAATGTTAAATGATGGTTCATGACTCATTTTAAAATAACTTAGTCAGATTTCATTTCGTGATTAATAAAATGTTAAATCAAACATTAACCAAGTAATTTGAGACCAGGAAGAACTTAGTGACGTACTAATAACCCGAGATATACATCTTTTAATAACAACAGAACTTTTTTTCTTTTTTTTCTGAACTCCTGCATCAATCTTTGCATATTTCCAAACTTTCTATTTTTATTGCATTGTTATTTATTTTTGTTAATATAGTCTATCCTGTTGTTATTGCATTGTTATATGTTGTTCTTGTACAGAGTTATCATATTGTTATTTTTCTGCAAGTTTTATCTGTTTTTTATGAAGTATGTTCTGCCTCTTTACTGAAGTTTCACTCGGCTACTGGCATCATTGTTATTGTTCCTATACTGGTTTTGTTTTTCGAATATCTCGTTTTGTCAACTTGTTCAGATAGTTTGTTATTTATAGTTGTTACTTATAGTTTGTTATTCATAGTTTGTTATTTATAGTTTGTTATTTATAGTTGTTACTTATAGTTTGTTATTTATAGTTGTTATTTATCTTTTTATGTCTTGTATTGAAGTCTTGTTTTCCAGTTTTTTTTCACTACTTTTGTACTGGCCTGTGATTTTTTCTGCTTCTTCCGTATGTAAGATTATTGTATTATTCATGTAAAAATGGTGCAACCGTTAACAAATAAATAAATAAAAATAAATAAACAGATTTGTAATAAGTTAAATTTATTATTGTGTTAGGGTTCGTAGCTCGACTCTAACGCTCTAACTCAACCGAATTTAAAGATCAATAGCTCAAATGAAAGCTCATACATCACTGAATATCTTAAGACTAGAACGAACTGCAAGCGTTAATAGGAACTGGAGATATAAGAAAAATAATCTTAAAAATGTTCAAAGTACGAAACGTCCGTAAGAAATGTATGGGGAGAGTTTTTATTTGAATATATCTTCCAAACGAAAAAATATATTTAAAAACATATTTCAGCATTGAAATCAGCGTGAAAATTTAGTTCATAATGATGTGTCACAACACTAGCATTGTATAAAAAAGTTATTAACATCCAATATGGCGAATCCAAGATGGCGACCGAAAACACCAGCTTGGCCACACTTTCAGACAAAATACTCGGTAGTACACGGTTCTACATGTCATTACCTATCAATCGCCAACAATCATACAATTGCTTAATTCAAAATCCTACAAAATTACATATGCCTCACAACTATAGTCTAATTTATTTTATTTTCTAATACCTATAATTTGTTTATAGCAGACCTACCCGTAGCAGCAGACCTGTATACTCAACGAATTACAAATGCTTCAATAAATAATTAAAATGGAGCCACGCATCATCATTTCTCAAAGTATGTTCATGAACAAGCATGCAAAAAATTGTCCATAAGAATAACATTGGAAGTTAGTATGCAGGTTTGCTGCCACGGAAATGTAAAAATGGGGGATTTTAGGCCATAATCAAGTAGATCTCTACTAAATGAAGCCACATACCAATTATTATTAAGATATGCTGAGTAATAAGCTAGATATACAATTTTATTTTTTCCCCATAAGGATAACATGGCGACAATGTTCTGTGTTTTCCGCCTTCAATATCTCGGTAACCAATGGTCATAGAGCAATGATTCAAAACACCAAATTGTTTGATTTTTTGAGCTGAATTCAATGGTGTAAATTAAAATTCGATTATTTTACTCTAAAAAGAGTTATTATTAATTTAGTGAATAGATGTCACACATGGCGGCCATCTTGGATTTACGACGTCATAAAAACCAAACCCCGCAATTTGAGGGTAAACACCCGGTACTACACCATTATGTGACATATAATAAAGAGATTCCACATAGTCACACATTTGCTTCACAAAAAATCCCACGGAATACAGTTTGACCCCCGACTATATCTATCAAAAAAGCTTTTCTGTAGAACCTATTTATATTTAACAAAATTTAGGGGATTGCTTATTGAGTTTTTTTTTTTTTTTTTTTTTTTTTTTTTTTTTTTTTTTTTGTGGGGGCTGGGGTAATGGCATACCCATAGCTACTTCGGCCTGGAGACCTTTTGTAGCACCCTTTAATTCATTCTGACAGCCCTAGGCTCCTCAAGTAGCCCAGGAGCTGAAAGACACCCAGCTTCCTTATCTCTGTTGGTTCCAGGAATAACCTCCCCAGAGATATAAGCCTTCTATGGGCCAACGCTGGACAGTCCAGCCATAAATGTTCTGAGGTTTCTACCTCGTTCTCACAGAACCTGCAGAGGTCTGTTTGTGACCTCCCTATGGTCCTGAGATGTTTCCTGATAGGACCGTGCCCTGTTAACACTCCTACTAGCAGACTAATGTCCCCTTTCTTAAGGCTCAGCAAGTCTTTCCAGCCTTTATCAGTGGGGTCGATTAGTAATTTGGACGTCCTCATACCTGGGTGGTTCATCCAGGCCAGAGCCTTTTGAACCTTGACCCAGTCTTGGACTTTGGCTACTCCTGAGCTTATGGGGGTACCACAGTAGGGTTCTGGTCCTGACAGTTGGTCTTCCGCACCCTTCCTGGCCAATGCATCGGCTTTTTCGTTCCCCTCATGCCCCGAATGTCCAGGAACCCAAGACAATTTGACTTGGTTTCGCTCTGCTAACTTTTTGAGGGTGTTTTTGCACCCTTTTACTGTTCGTGACTGTGTCACACATGACCCCAGCGCCTTCAGTGCTGCCTGGCTGTCAGAGAGAATAAGGATTTTACCCTTTCTTATTGAGTTGGATGACTCTTTAAGACAAACAATAGCATCTGATTTTAGGCCAATCCTTACTCAAGATTCTCTGTCAAAAATTTAAATTTGGTTCATTATTTGAGTAAAATCATAGAAAAAAAGAATTAAATATAGACCGTCAGCTGTGCTGCAGTTACCATAGGTTCTAGCGCACACCACTGGGAGCGCCGTGTAGTAACGGTATACACACTATGTAACTACACAGGCGCTTCCAGCGGTCTGCGCCAGAACCTATGGTAACCATGGTAACCGCAGCACGGCTGACAGTCTATATTTAATTCTTTTTGTCTATGGTACAATGTATGAGCAATTCATCATATAATAATTGTGCTGCTAGCCCAAGACTTAATGTCTTGTACTGTAACTACTTAAGGAACATGCTTAATCCTTGGCATGATCACAAAAATCTAATGGGTTTGGATCACACTTAAACTTAAAAGCCTTTGTGATTCCTCCAGCAAAAATGCCACTGGCGTAAACTATAACAATAAATATTAACTGTGCTAATTTAAAAAAGGTTACAGCTAAAATCAACCATTTGTCTGCTCACCGGGTGTGTGCTGGAGATATGTTGTAGCATGTGGTCGACAGTTCGCTTGGGAGAGTCACACTTGCGGTAGTCGCCCCATCGCCCCGCCGCGGCTGCTGGTGTAGGTGCCGGGCCATTGGTCAGACGGCAACACAACGGCTCTTTACAATCAGCATTGGTACCCTCCTGGTAGTACGGGTCATAGTGTGTGTCTGAGATGTGTAGAATCTTGAATGTAGCAGCAGTTGCCTACACAAACCTCTATACCATCATCATCTCATCGTTACAATTGCTGTTACAAATCTACCACTATTGGAAACCAAATTTTGCTCCTTTTAACTGAGACTTGCATTGAGCCAACTTCCGCTCCCATTCTTCTGATGTATTTTATGATATTGTCCTTCCCATAAACACAGTCTCCCTTCTTTTCTGGTGGCCACAAAGAAGAGTGTCTGGTTAGAATAACAGGAAAGGGACTGTGAAGAGAATGTAGAAGATTGTTCAGCAAAGAAGTCTGGTGTAGGTATATAAGTTTTACAAAGTAGGGACTGTGGAGAAAAACTCAAATGTTCCTTCTCCTGATTGGGAAGTTGTATATTCCTTTAACATTGTTTTCCTCTGGTAATGCATCTAACTGGTCTGGGCCTTCATGTGGAGCTCATACTTCTTCATAGGTTCATGTCCCCTATTTAAGATTTTAATATCACATACTATTCGTTTTTTCCAGTTTACTTTGGAATATAACAAAATTTATATTACTTATAATGGTTTTACAATTATAGAAGACGTCATAGACCAACTTGACCAGACCACCAGTCTAGACTTTACTTCAGCCCGGTCTCGTTTGATTTTGTCAATGTCCCTTCCAGTGTTTTGTGTTTTTTGTAAACGTGTGTCCATTCTATGTTATCATGTGTCTTATGTGTTTAATTTATTGAACTTTGTTTATTAACGGACTTCGAACTAAGTGATTACCTCACACTGGTTCAGAAGAACCGAAACTAGTTGCCAAAACAGCAATAACGGAGAACTATTTACAGGTATTGTAAACCATTATAAGTATAATACAGTAATCCGGAGCCTAATCAACTCTTTAAAAACAAATTTATATTAATAAAATGCTCCTAAAAATGCAATCATTAAAACTATTTCGGATACTTTTTTTAAAGGGAACTTGATCCATAGAACTTGATTGCAGCTCGACTATATTAACTTATGTAAATTTACAATGAACTTGACAATTACCGACGGAGGAGTTGCGGCTTGTACAGGAGGCTTGGGCACTGGAGGAAATACCACTTGCCACTCGTGAGTGGGATTGTCCACATCTCCGCAAGCATCTCCGATCACAAAGCTGCAGATCTCTTCAGGGCCGATCTTTAGACGCTTCAACACGTAAACCACTTCTCCCTGCAGTCAAAGGCCGAATAAACTTATGGTAATTGTGCAAGAAGAAAATACATATTTCATAAAAACCTAGCATCCTAATATCAATAGGGTCTAGGGGTTATTTTTGAACCTGGTATAATTAAATTATTTATTGAAAATTTATGAAAAAAACCAAGGCAAACAAAGAGAAGGTTTCCACTCAAAGGATATGATGTACAGAGATATCTATCCTGACTCATTGATAAGTTCATTCTTAGGTTGTTTAAATATTATAAATACAGTAATTTGTTTTAAATTAGAGATATTTAGGGACTTCTGTCCCTACAAGCCACTAGTCTAATCTAATTATCTAATTTGAAATTTTGGATACTTTGACCACTTGGAGTTCCATTATATTAAAGCCTTTTCATCTATTGGGTGACTTACCCCAAACAGCTCTGTGATTCCCTCACAGACCCGAGGCGTCTGAAGCTTGAGACTCACACAGAACTGGTACGTTATTTTGACAATATCATCTCTCGTCTTGCCCCCTCTGATGTAGTGTTGAAGCAGACCCGCACCTGTCATTTTAAACATTTTAACATTTTAACAAACATTTTAAACAAAGGAAAGATTAAAACAACCAGCTGATCACAAACAGCAAACATTACGTCATTGCCGTCTTCTATCGTGACGTCATGCTTGATGAGCATTACAGCCTGTTTTTTAGTGTGGCCTTGTGTAAGGCTATCAGACAGCTGTTTTTTTTTTTTTTTTTTTTTTTTTTTAGTTAGGATCAAATAGATATAGCTATAAGTTATAATTGAAGGTTTTGTTGTGATGCGTGATGGTGTAACTTTGTAACTTGAAAGGTTAAAGAATCCTTGACAAAAGAGATTGGAGTGGGAAGGGGGAGGCGTTATATGTGCACAAGAACACACCTGCCTTGCAAGCTGTGCAGGACACCTTCGACATGACACTGGTCTCCACCTCCTGCACCACCTGTTTAAGGTTCATCAGGCGCAGAGCCTTGTCTACAATACGGGGCAGGTGTCTGCCAGACCTTGGCCCTGCGTCCAGAGTATGCAGCAGCTTCGTGTAGTTCATCTGCAACCAAACTCAGTTAAACACACTCCCCCAATGTTTATCATGCTTAAAGATCACCTACAGAAAATGTTTAGGTTAGGTTTGTCTGGTCTAAAATACCAATCTACTAACTTAACTAACTTAATCTAGAGGACACTTTGTCGCTTACCATTAGTAGCGACCTTATATCACCATTATCAACCTTTTAAATGAAATGAATAACTATTTTAAACTGAATAACATAAACACTTTACTACACTACTATAATCGCTTAATAAAGAGAGCTAAACTCGCACTTTGTGTCTGTTATTTATAGTGGTATGTATGAATGCAGGGTAAAAGTAGATTGGAGATGACCCGTGAAGCTTTGTTACTGACTAAGATGAACGGTTTCTTTAGGCCTGCCATACACGTTCCGTCCGGAACTGCACAGTTTGGCCGGAGTTGTGACCTCCCCACACACGCTCAGTCCGGAACTGCACAGTTTGGAGTTTTTGAGACGATTTTACTTTAGCAGAATATGGTTTATGTTACCTTGCCTGAATGATCCTATGTAGTTGTCAAACACGACAGCTGTTTCGTGCTACAATGAGCACATCTTCAAAGTGAAGAAACACAAAATCAAATCATTTCGCCCGCGGTTGAGCACGTCAAAAAACACATAAAGTACACGAAGTTCACACAAAAATACATAATACAAACACTTGGCCAAGTACCGCGAACACGCGACGCGGCGCCGGTAATGTGTAGGTCATGAGTCATGACCGGCGCCGCGTCGCGTGTTCGCGGTACTTGGCCAAGTGTTTGTATTATGTATTTTTGTGTGAACTTCGTGTACTTTATGTGTTTTTTGACGTGCTCAACCGCGGGCGAAATGATTTGATTTTGTGTTTCTTCACTTTGAAGATGTGCTCATTGTAGCACGAAACAGCTGTCGTGTTTGACAACTACATAGGATCATTCAGGCAAGGTAACATAAACCATATTCTGCTAATTTTAATGATCCAGAGGCTATCCATCATGAGATTTTACTTTTTTCAACTCTTTTCTAAACGCACTTCTTAATTTTTTTTAAAACCACAGTGTCCTTTGTGGCTTTTAGGTTCGCCTTCTTCACAAAATCCAAAAATTCTTGCCAAAAATGTCCAAAAATTTCTGGCTACTGGCTTTTTTTGAGTCTAAATCAATAATCAATGTACTATCACAGCATTCAAATTACCACAGTTCCAAGTATATACTGTAGCACCAATATAATAAAAGTTACATACCTTGAGTGAGCGGAAGGCCTCCAATGTTTGTTTTTCCATCTCCTCCTCACTCCGATGTGGCAAGTTGTGACTTCTCGGGGACAAGAGAGGGTTCTCATCTGACTCGTTGCTCAGGAGTGCGTACTCTTGCCATGTCTTGAACTCTTTTGTGTTCCATACCTTAGCCGTCCACGTGGGGCCCGCTGCAAACAAGAGGCAAGTAATATCTTTCAATATCTTAATATCTAAATAAAAAAATCTATTATATTTATATCTTAAATCTATTATTGTAATATCTTTCACCTGAGGTTAATGGAAAACGAGCAAGGGTTAAAAAGACAATTTTTGCCCGTGTGATGAATTATGTTTTTCATCATATTGGATCATTAGTTCAATAAAAATATGGTAGAAAACAAAATACTTTTTATGTAAATATAACCTCTTAAAATGACTTACAACTTGTTTTCAATTCTGCTAATGTAAATAAGTAGATGTTTAGTAAGTTGTGATTAAATCATGTTGCCTATTACAAAAGTGTTACAGTACATTATACCATCGATATGTCGAGCAATTGACAACAATGCAACAATAGGCTAAAACCTTACCCAATAAATCAATCGATAAATGATTTCAATCGATAAAATTGCCTTAATCAAAATTTACAACTCCCTAGAGGGGAAAAATGCTACTTTAGACCTTCAACACATGTATAAACGGCTGTTTTTGCTGCAGTGTGACAAAAATATTTATACTGTAGTTATAATTTTTATTCTTTAACTTCCGTTATTATCAAAAGTGTAAACTCAATTGGAGAGAATACAATTAATTCTAAAAAATGCTTAGCACCAAGTAGCAGTTGGTGATTTTCCGCAGTTAGAACCCCCACCTGAAGTTGAACTTCATTAAGGAGTTAGGATTGGAGGTGGTTCTCTAGACAAAGACTGGAGACTAGTTTGGGGGACTAAATAGTTCTTACAGGTCGCAGTGTAATCTTCCCCCCAGGTATCATCAGTATCAATATAAGAAATGTTTACAGTAAAGTCTCGATTGTCCAACCTAACTGGTCAAGACATGGTCAGATAAGCAGAAAGTCTAGGATCACAGAAAATAACAAAAACAAAAAAAAAACATGTTAAAAATCATTAAATTACTGACAATTCCAATTTGTCAAATTTATTTAAGGGTTCAAGTTTTTCTTAAGTTGTAACCACTTTTTTCTGTTTGGATGCCATCGTCATAAATAACATAAAATACCCCTGCCGCAGCAAACCTGCAGACTAAGTAGATATCAATCCTTCTAATTGGATTCGTAGGCCTACGCAAATATTTCCAGAAACAGGACATACTTCCCATTTAAATAACATTAGATTTAATGAATACCTAAGTTTGCAGCTACGGTGAGAGCAAAAAGTGTTTTTTGACCAATATGTTAACAGCAGCCGAGTAGCCTAAAGTTTGAAATAAAAGATTTGCCAAATTTGATCAACATATGGCCATAAAGAAGCAAAATACAACAGCTTTCTTTTCCTCCATGAGAGAGTTTTTGGAATATTCTCTGTAACCTTTTATTGTACACAAAACCTTCAATATACCAAATTATTTTTTTCAAAGCTCTACAAGATGGTTTGCAACAAAAATTTTTGCTCTCAATTTTAAGAAATTTCAAAACCCCGTAATACCCAAGACCCCCTCTTGCTGATTCGCAAACTCATTCAAGTTGTGAACCTGGTGTTCTGCTATTCAGACATTCAGTTTACTGTCATAGTCATGGGTAGCTTGACAGTTGAGAAAGAATTTGGAATTGATGCTTACTTCACTTCAAACCTACAAAGCGTATGATTGTAAGAGACTGCATAGTTGAGCAACGTTGTTTATGTTTGTAAAGTAAATCCCTTATGATTTTAGTTTTGAGGTCCTTCCATGTCATTATATACTGTAATTTCATTCAATAAATTAACTTTTTTGATTTAAAATTACAATTCCCTTTAATATAAACCCATTGAATGAAAACAGCAGTTGATAAAAATATGAAAGTGACATTAAAACTGAAAGTACAGTGAGTTTCTTAATTTGCCTATTGTACAGGCAGAATGCACAGTGTTGTTGGCTAATTGTGTATACTGTCCATGCTAAATACACAGCTGATTTATAGCAAGGGAAAGCGGACACACTTTCATTGGCTCAGCTGATCTCCCGCTTGGGGCTAAGCTATTATCAAAACACTACTTTGAGGTCAACAGGTTCTAAAATAACTGATTAGTGAAGTTACATATTTTTTTATATAATTCAGTGATAATCGCTGTTTGCCGGACTAATAATAATCAATCATTTTAGCCTCTGGATTGCTTATATATTAATTGATATTATAAGGCCTTACCTTAGCAATCCTGTTTTTTGATCCGAAATTAATTTCGGGCCCGAAGGTCCATCCAGGTTTAGAAAATTTGGTCTACTAGATTCCGACTGATGATGGACCTTCGGGCCCGAAATTAATTTCGGATCAAAAAACAGGATTGCTAAGGTAAGGCCTTATAATATCAATTAATAATAATCACAGAGAAATTACGAGAACAGGACCTAAATGTATGAGTCAGCTTAAGTGTCAAATTCATTTCTTCCCTCAAGTGTGTGACACTTTTATACTTTTGTTACCATGTTAAATGTGTATATTAAAAATAACTTGCTGTTGGCCCACACTATGCACAGGGATCAAGTAGTCAGTGAAAGCAGTGGTAGCAGCAAAGTGCCACTTCGAACACTAGTTAGTTACACAATAGTGCAGCAAACGCAATTTGCTTTTGCTTTACATATTATATTTCTCCTACAGTTACTATAAACCATATAAATAAATTAGTCTTTCAGGCACTATACAAGACGTTTTTAGGTTTAGGTAAAATCCAAGCGTTGAACGAAATGGAAAACGCTGACCAGTTGATTGTAGTCGTAATATCTGTAAGTGTTGCCAATTATTTTCAAGTGTCCCCGTATTACATGCCTAATAAACGAACACTTTTTTGTGTTGTTTGGTTGGAATACTGGAGTAAGACAAAAGTATGAAAATTTATCAATTAGCTTCTTGGCGTACTATGATCATTGCAAGGAAGCTCACTTTGCCAAGTAACTGTAGGATTATAACTATTAGGACAAACTTTAGTGTCAGCATTAATTTAATCTGTAGAAGACTGAAATTCAAAACCAAACAGTGCCTTTTGAAATTCCCTTCCTCTCAAAATTATCTATTTGTTCAACACCAGAATTCTGAAAATCTATCAAGTTAATTCATTGTTTTTGACAAAAGACTGAATAAATATGGCTAGATAATTTACAACTCAACACACATCCATGTGTGGATGACCAAAAGCACAGTGCACAATGACTGTGACACAGATTCAAGGCGAGCAAGCTTCTCACTATGGTTACTGGTTCCGCTTTACTCCCTAAGTTAGGTCAAATTCCAACATTTTTCCGAGGGACTCCAAACCATCAGATTACAGCATTTACCTAAAATACAGTAATGCAATCTTCTCTTTTTAAATAGTTCACACTTGGGAATTATTTTTGTTCACTGTGGTCATAATTTTTTAATCTCTTTGCAAAAAGTGGCAGTTTAGTTCCAGGATTGTAGGCCAAACACTAAATCCTTTTTTTTAAACAATCAATCATGATTTATTTTATTATTCTCAATCAAATGTTGCCAGCGGAACTTTGAGAAACAAATAGAAATAACAGAATGTATATTATGTTGACTAGGATTGTGAACTTTATAAGCAAGCATAAACAGAGTACTAAAATAGTAAAAAAATCCTTTCAAAGAAATTTTCCCTCACTTTGTCAAATAATGTTTTTCATTTTCTTATTGTATACAGAATGTCCATAAAATGACAGGACAATTGTCGATACACTAGTATAATACTAAAACTAAATAGTAATATTAAAATACACAAACAAAATAACTTTAATATTAGACAAATGAAATGAAATTTTAATTTAATTTAAACCAATTAAAATTAAATTAAATAAAAATTGAATCAAATTCAAAGAGATTCTGTGCCCTCTTGGTAGCACAGAGCAACCCAATGCTGTAAAACTTTTGGTTAAAAAGTTATTGCAAACATTTAGGATTTTCCCCATAAAATATCATACCGCTTATCCAAGATAAGGGTTGTAGTCAAGCTAAAATTGGAGAGAATGTACCTTTATCTGACAAGGCATATAAATCTCACAAACAGTAATACCACATCTGGTTGGATGAATAACTCATTACCTTCCATCTAATACAACACTTTCTAGACAAACCCTAATGACTATATATACAGGGTTCGTAAAAAGTCTGGAGACCCCCTGTTAATTTTTTAACAGACCATACTAGAAAAACTAAACTCGGCACACCTTTATGGTATGTTATGAAGTACTTTTTGGGCATAACCGCCACTTGGTGTACATCCCCAAAATGGGGGATTTTTGGGGAAACTCAAAAATTTTAAATGGTAAGACCCATCGAGTGACCCCTCATTTTGAAGGTCCTGGTAAAAGAAAACCAAAAACGCAAACTAGAGGTCTCTATCTTAATCCAATAAAAAATGGCAGCCAATTGAAATTCTCAAAGTTAAATTTAACTTACAGCTCTCTAGGTCTGGAGACCCCTTGTAAATTTTGTAACGGCTCACACTAGGAAAACTAAACTCTACACACCTTTATGGAATGTTATAAAGTACTTTTTGAGCCTAATTGCTACTTGGTTCCCAAACTCAAAATGGGGGATTTTGGGGGAAACTAAATAATTTTAAATGGTAAGCCCCATTGAGTGACCACTCATTTTGAAGGTCGTAATAAAAGAAAACTAACAACGCAAACTAGAGGTTTCTATCTCAATCCAGTAAAAAATGGCAGCTGATTGAAATCTTTAGAAATCAGAATTAACTTGCAATTTTATATTCAATCAGCTGCCATATTTTACTGTGTTACGATAAAGACCTCTAGTTTGCGTTGTTAGTTTTCTTTTATTACGACCTTCAAAATAAGTGGTCACTCGATGGGTCTTAACGTTTGAATTTTTTTAGTTTCCACCTAAATCCCCCATTTTGAGTTTGGGAACTAAGTAGCAATTAGGCTCAAAAAGTACTTTATAACATGCCATAAAGGTGTGTAGAGTTTAGTTTTCCTAGTGTGAGCCGTTACAAAATTTACAGGGGGTCTCCAGATTTTTTACTAACCCTGTACCGGTATATATATATTTGAAAAATAGAACTATATAGTTTTACCTTGTGATGTGCCGAGCAATGTAGAAATGAAGAAAAAGAAGACGAGAAACATCCCACGACACATCGCAAACTGAAGCCTTCTGTAAAAAACCAGTTAAATATTAGATAGCAAGTAGCTTTGGACTGGGAACGTGGCGATGGCCTTGTATTATCTGCAATTAGTCATAAAATAATTGCTAAAATATGTTGAAACGTCGACTCTAATTGAGCTATTTATCAAACTAAAACCTGGTGTCAGAAAGGGGATTTTCACTTGCGTTAAGGAAACACTATTGCAAATATTGTAAAAAATTGTTCGAAACTGTCAATAAAAAATCAACTCAGTAGCCCAACAGACACAATAATTAATGCCTGTACAAATTTTCAGAAAATATGAATTCAATTTTCTGAGTGTGAGAAAAATCAACATAAGCTATTGGAAAAGTTTTGGTTTATGTCAACAGGAGTTATGGAAGTGGTGTTACTAAAGGGTAAAACCTTACTAAAGTATTTTTCTTCTTAATTTGTAAAATTCTATTAATAATTGCATTTTGAAATTTAAACATATTATCTAATTTCTCAAGTTTCTTCTTAAGTTATTTATTTTCTACTCAAGTAATATAGCATTTTCTTATAGAGTTAACCCCCTAACCATTTTAGGATCTGATATTGTCTTTGAGTTAGGTCACAAATAAAAAAAAATTCTAAAATAATCAAATTTAAATCATCAATTTAAATTTAATCAGCGAGAGAGGCAACAAAGTCCAGAATTCAACTTTGACATGTAGTGATATTGTTCAAGATTGATATGGTGACGGTTGAATTTAAAGAATAGAATTTTATGCTTTTTATTTTTCCAAGGTAAAAAATAACTCAAATATCAATAATTTAACATGACAAACACAGTTCTCTAATTCTAAGCATTTCCAAACATACTTTTTCCTATCTTTAAAATCTTCAACTCATTCAGTGATTACTGGGGCTCCACTTTCGCTCAATTGTACTACTGACCCGTCCAGCCATCATACATAGACCAGCAGCGTGGCTATATGGATATATCACACTTTCTACCATACAGCCGATTTACCAACAGTACACGGTAAAACAAGTATATTTTAACTTCTTGATCAGCATTGTACGTTTTATTAATTTTATGGAAAGTAAATAAAAGAAATGTCTTATAATACTTTTACTTTCCATAAAATTAATAAAACGTACAATGCTGATCAAGAAGTTAAAATATACTTGTTTTACCGTGTACTGTTAGTGGTTACTTTCACTGCTAAATCTTAAGATCTAGCAATAAAAGTCCAATAAAAGAAAAGTCTTATAACACTTAATTTTTTTAAGTGTTATAAGACTTTTATTTTATTTACTTTCCGTAAGTATATTTTATCACCTTGTAAAGATCTACCTAAAGAATTTTGGCAAAATGAGCAAGACAACATTTTTCTAAAATAAAATGACAAACAATTTGTATGAGTCTGACCATAGACTATGGCTAGAACTAGACGCTCCATTCCTATTCTAAAATTGTTGCCAGTTTTAGAATAAACATAACGTACCTAGTATACAATACTGGATTCTATAAAATATCTTAACGTTTTAATAAAGCCAAATAACCCTCCACAACCTGATATGTATGACTCCTTCGTTAAGCTTGTCCAGCAGGTCTCGAGAAAAATGATACCTAGAGGCTGTCGAACTCACTACATCGCAGGACTCTTTGAAGAGGCAAAGCCACTGCTAGAATGAAACCAAGGTCTCTTTGACAATGATCCCTTTGCTGAGGACACACTTCTAGCAGGTGAAGAGCTTATGTCAGTCATTGCCGAAAATCGCAAAACTAAGTGGTGTGATCTTGTGGAGAGTTTAGATATGCAGATGAACAGCAGACGGGCCTAGAAGATCCTCAGAGATGTGACAAAACCAAAAGACAACTTTACAACAGTTACTGCCGATCAAGTCGCTACCAACCATCTTTTAAATGGCAAAACCTATGGAAGGAAATACCGGGAACCTGTTGTGCGTTATGTGGCAAGTGAGAATCACTTCCTGGAAGAACCATTCACCATGTTTGAGCTAACTGCAGTCATTACCAGCTTAAAGACTAATAGAGCTCCAGGTATTGACGAGATCAGAGTCGAACAACTAAAGAACCTAGGTAAAAATGCCATGCAATGGTTGTTGAGCCTCATGAACATGTGCGTAAGCCAAATGCATATACCAAAGGCATGGAGGAAAGCTCGTGTGGCTGCACTGCTCAAACCTGGGAAAGGTCCAAACGATCCTAAGAACTTTCGACCTGTTTCTCTCTTATGCCATGCATATAAAATATTAGAACGTCTGATACTCAATCGAATCAGCGATTTTCTGGAACAAAAGATCATTCCACAACAGGCAGGCTTTCGATCAGGCAAGTCTTGTTGTGGCCAAGTTTTAAACCTGACCCAGCACATTGAGGATGGGTTTGAGAGAAAACAGATCACCGGTGTCGCTTTTGTAGATTTAACAGCTGCCTACAATACCGTAAACCATCGAAGACTCTTGGGAAAAGTGTACAGCATTACTAAAGACTATCAGCTGACTTCAATGATAGGCACTTTTCTTCATAACAGGCGGTTTTTCGTGTCCCTTCAAGGCAAGAAAAGTAGATGGAGGAATCAAAGAAATGGATTGCCTCAGGGTAGCGTCTTAGCCCCAGCTCTTTATAACATTTACACTAACGACCAACCGTTCCCAAACACTACACGTCAGTATATATATGCCGATGATATGGCGGTGGCGGCACAAGGTAGGAGTTTTGAAGAGGTGGAACAGAAGCTGACTATGACTCTAAATGAACTTTCCCAGTACTATGACGCAAATCACCTCAAGCCGAACCCTGCTAAGACCCAAGTTTGTGCCTTTCACCTAAACAATAGAGAAGCAGGCCGTGAGTTGAATGTGAGGTGGTGGGGAGACCGTCTTCAGCACTGTCCTACACTCAAATACCTTGGTGACATACTGGACCGCACACTGACATTTAAGGCACATTGAATTGCGACAAGAGGTAAAGTCTCAGCGAGGAATAATATCATCAGGAAGCTCACCAGCAGATGCTGGGGTGCTAACCCTAATGTCCTCAGAACCTCAGCTTTAGCGCTCAGTGTGTCGGCTGCGGAGTACGCTGCACCAGTATGGAATGCATCGTCACATGCAAAAAAGGTTGACATTGCAGTCAACGACATGGCTCGGATTGTAACTGGGTGTTTGAAACCAACCCCAGTACACAAACTCTATCCTATCACAGGGATCGCCCCTCCATCAATCCAACGTGATGTTGCTGCCGACGCAGAAAGGACTAAGCAAGAGACAGACCCTCGTCACCCATTACACGGCCACCAACCTGCAGAGCGACGGCTTCGGTCCAGAAAGAGATTTTTATCACGGACACGAGTCCTGGATGGATCACTCTCAAGCAATCGGGTGGCAAGGTGGGAGGCCACGTTGACTAACCCTCCCATACCAGCCAGGGAGGAACTGGCTCCTGGTGGAGGCCTTCATTACACGGTGTGGAAGACCCTAAATCGAATTAGGGTCGAGGTACCAAAATGCAAGACAAACATGCAGAAATGGGGTCTCTTACCAGACGAAGAAAACATCTTGTGCGCGTGTGGTGCTGTTCAGGATCCTGGCCATCTGCTGATCTGCCCACGCCTAGACCAGTCTTGCACATTAGATGATCTTTTACATGCGAATGACAAAGCCATATCGGTAGCTAATTTTTGGAAAAGCGAAATCTGATTTCCGGACACGGAAAGTAAGTAATAAAGCCAAAAAGGATTAAAGAATAGATTGTTGCATCTTTATCTTTTACATCACATCAATTAACTCACATCAATAAGAAAAATTGGCATAGGGGGAGAACTAAATTGTATACTGTAGCTCACTCTGAGATTTACATTTTAATTGCAACACCTCATTACAGTGAAGTAAAGCACATGTAACTGATACAACTTAAGCCAACATATCTATAAACAAGACAAGAAAATATAAATTTGTTCTCCAAAGAATAGCATAATGCACTTATGCGGTGCATTTATAATGTAGGCCTACCTCAGAAATCAGTTTAGCAAAATAAAAATATACTCTTCATTAATTAACAAGTTTTCTTTTATCTGAATGTAAACATGAGTAGGGTCAAAAACTACTAATTTAATTAAAAATGTAATGATTCTTTTCAGACCCAGGTTTTGTCACATTAATAAAATTATTGATAATCATACTACTGATTACAAAAGCACAGATATATATATATATATATACCTATATATGAACAAATTAACCCTGGAACTGCACTATTGAGAAGAGCTACTGTACAAAGAAAAGAATAAAAATCTATCAAATCTTTAATCTTAATAAAATCAAGAGCTGAATCACAAGCAATATTGACGAAACAGCTGATTAGATTTGAGTTTGTATCAGCTGTTATTGAGGTCACTGAACCATTCGACCAGCTGATTTGTGTACCGTTATGTCTGGGGAGCCTACACCCGGCCCGGCATTTTCAATTCAACTCCTGAATAGTAATGCACGTACTGGATACATAATGGAAATCGACATAATATCTGATATTTGTGTCATTCGGTAAAAAAGGTATTGGAAACTAAACAGTTTGAAAACTTACAATGATTAAACTACTTCTACAAGCATTTACCTCTGCTGAAAAACATGCATTATACAACGGACTTCAAGTGTTTTCCGTTTCAATAGTTGTGTATTGTATTAATCATAATTAATTTAATCAGTGATTTTAACCATATAATGGTATTAGCAAGTCTACTGTGGTACAAAAAGACAAAATTATTACGTATTCCAAACCAATAAATATAAATTTAAAATGTGTTTTTATTCATTTCACAATTGCAAGTTGCCAATCTTTACAGATAGACAACTTAATTTGTTCAATATGGTGATATTGTTTTTTGAAAGTCTCTCAAAATATAAGCTCTGGAATCATAAATGCCTGAAAGCACATAAAATACGTCAAATAACACTTATACTAATATATTTACACTTATACTGTTTACTCACAACACGGTAACATAAAAAGGTGGTA